TTCCAAAACGCTTATAAAATGCGAAATAATCAACCGATTCTCTTCAAATTTCACACATCCTAATATTACTACCAACACAAGATCTGGTGGGAAGATAGTAGACATAGGTCAACTCCTACTGGTACCTCCCCCACAAAGGGGTCAAAATTTTGAATAATCATAACGCTCATAAAATCCGAAATAAGCTTTCGATTCTCTCAAAATTTCGTACATCACAATATTTCCATCAACACAACATCTGTTGTGAAGATGGAATAAATCGGACCAATCCTTTTGGTACCTCCCCCCACAAAGAGGTCAAAATTTTGAAAAATTAAAAACGCTCATAAAATGTAAAATAATCCTCCGAATCTTTTCAAATATTACTAATGCCAATATTTCCATCAACTCAAGATATGGTGTGAAGATATGATAAATCGCTCCATTCTTTCTGGTACCTCCCCCACAAAGTGGTAAAAATTTTGAAAGACCATAAGGCTTATAAAATTCGAAATAATCAATCGATTCTCTTCAAATTATATCATATCCCATTATTTCCACTAGCACAATGTCTGCTGTGAAGATGGGGTGCCTCGGCCCACTCCTTCGGGTACCTTCCCCACAAAGTGGTCAAAATCCTAAATTTCTAAAACGCTTATAAAATGCGAAATAAACATCCGATTCTCTTCAACTATCACACATGCCAATTGTCCTACCAACTCAAAATATGGTGTGAAGATGGAGGATATCGGACAACTCCTTCTGGTAGCTTCCCCACAAAGTCGTCAAAATGTTGATGGACAAAAACGCTCATAAAATGCGAAATAATCATCAGATTCTCTTCAAATCCCACACATCCTAATATTTCTAGTAATACCCGATCTGATGGGAAGATGGGATAAATCGCTCCACTCCTTCTAATACCTTCCACACAAAGTGTTCAAAATTTTTAATAACCTAAACGTTCACAAAATGCGAAATAAGCATCCGATTCTCTTCAAATTTCGTACATCCCAATATTTCCTTCAACACAAGATCTGGTGAGAAGATATGATAAATCGCTCCATTCCTTCTGGTACCTTCCCTACAAAGTGTTCAAAATTTTAAATAACCGAAAAGTTCACAAAATGCGAAATAAGCATCCGATTCTCTTCAAACTTCACACATTCTAATCTTTCTAGTAATACACGATCTGGTGTAAAGATAGAATATATCGGTCTCCTCCTTCTGGTACCTTCCCACAGAGGGGTCTTAATTTTTTAAATTCTAGGTGAATTAACCTCAAATCCGCCCAGTTGAAAAACTTCAATTCGGAGCGCCTGAAATTAGGTTCTCTCTGAAAAATCTTTATTCCAGCTGAGCTGAAATAAAGTTTGCCTGGGTGTGTCTCATTGTGGCTCAGCTGAATTATGAATTCCATGGGAAATCTTATTTTTTTATTTTATTTTTTTTTTTATTTTTATTTTTTATTTTATTTATTTATTAATTTTATTATTTTTTTTTTTTGTGAGAAAAATTTTCAAATTTAAAAAAAAAATGGGAAATCTACAATTCCGACCCCTCTGGATTTAATATTTTGTAATTAATTCAACATTTTTATTTTAAATTTCAATGAAGTAATTTAACATTTCTAGGCCAATCTCATAACCAAAAAAAAAACAAGATGTCTTCTTCTTCCGAGATTTTAATCCGCAGCATAAAAACAAAACTTAATTAAAATGCCAAATGAAATAATTCGGTCATCATGTTGCTTTTGTTGCTGCTGCTTCTCAGGCTTGTTTACAATCAAAAAAAAAAAAAAAAGAGAAATACAAACTAATTTTTGTTTGGTCTTGCAAAGCCAAGACCAAAAGCAAGACATTGATGTTGGCAAGCTATAAATTACAAATTTTAATATTATTACGCCAACAAAAAAACACCAACCAAATAAAAATAAACAAACATTATTATTGCCGAGATCATCATCATCAGAAAATTACAGCAACAGTATCAAGAGAAAAAAAATAGAGAAACACATAAAAAAGAGAGAGTGTGAGAGCAAGTCTGAGCAGCAAAAGGGTGATTGTTTGTCTTGGCTTGACTTGCCATAAAATCCGGACATGAATGAATTAATGATAACTTTCACATTCTTTTTTAGCGTTTTTTTCATTGTTGCAGCGGCTTGAAAAGCCACAGTAAAGCGTGGAATAAAGGTCAGCCAGGCAGCAACCATCAAAAGCGGCAGCAGCAGCGGCAGCGGTTTACTGCAACAACGGCAGCAACATCAACAACATTTCAAGCCAAAAGAATTCCAATTTAATTCATGATATAAGAAACGAGAAGAAGAAGCAGAAGACAATTCATGAAGACATTTACACACACACAGAGACACACAATTGTGACCAGCTTTGGCTAAATTTTTTCTGTTTACATTTCCATGAGAAACAAACCGGCTTGAGATGGATGACATGGTTGGCTGGTTATGGTGTTGATGAGAGGCCCATAACGGCATTGACAACGATATGTTGAACTCCCAAGTTGTAAACACAAGAGGTTGAGGAGGAGGAGTAGGAGGGATGGGGGGCTATTCAAAAGATATTGTAACAGAAACTGCTACAAATTATGGATGGCACAAAAATGAGTCATCGCTAAGAAAAAAAAGTATAAAAATCGGGTGGGGCCGACTATATGATACCCTACACCACTAGGCATATTTAGTAGAGCTCCCGTAACAAAAGAATTTATTTGAAGTAGATCATAACATCTATCAACATTTGGCTTTAGAGCCGTTTTTAGTCGATTCAGAGGGAACTAATATATGGGAGGCATATCCAATTCTGAAGCGATTTTCACTAAATCTGAAATCTGACATTTTTATACTTTATACCAAATACCATTGCTATAGAGTGCTTGATATCACCTAGAGAAGGATTCCAACAAATGGAAACATACGTCCTAAAATTCTCTCCATTCGGGCTGATATTAGCCATTATTTGCATAATAAACCTGAAATCGGATTAATGTTATGTATGGGAGCTATATCCAAACCTTAACCGATCTCGATGAAATTTGGCAGATGTATTTCCGAGCTCTATAATATATCTGGTACCAGGCTGAATTCGGTCGGGTGTACCAAAATTCAAGTCATTTGGACTGAGATTGGCCATTTGGTGCACGATTAAAACGAAATCGGGTGAAGATATATATGGGGGCTGCATCCTAACCTTAGCCGATCTCGATGAAATTTGGCAGAGGTATTTCCAAGCTCTATAAGATATTTTGTACCAAATATCATTGTTGTCGAATGCATATTATGAATGTGAGAAACTAATAATCCCAATTCGGATGATACATTTATGTGGAAGCTATAGCTATATCTGAAGCGATTTTCTCCAAACTTGATGTACTTGCTTCTAGACTGAATTCGGTCGGATGTGCCAAATTTCAAATCATTTGGAACGCTATTGGCCATTTGGTGAACAAATAATCCGAAATCGGTTGAAGATATACATGGGAGCTATATCCAAACCTTAGCCGATCTCGATGAAATTTGGCAGAGGTATTTCGGAGCTCTTTAAGATATCTGATACCATTTATCATTGTTGTCGGATGCATAGTACGAATGTGAGGGACTTAAAACCCCAAATCGGATGAAACATATACACGGGAGCTATGGCTATATCTGAAGCGATTTTCACCAAATTCTATGTACTTGCTTCTACACTGAATTCGGTCGGATGTGCAAAAATTCAGGTAATTTGGACTGACTTTGGACATTTAGTGCACAATTTACCCGAAATCGGCTGAAGATATATATAGAAGCTATATCCAAATCTGAACCGATCTTGATACAATTTGGCATAGCTATTTCTGGGCTGTATCTGATATCTGATACCAAATATCATTGTTGTCGAATGCAAATTACTCACGTGAGGAATTAAAACCCCAAATCGGATGAAACATATACACGGGAGCTATGGCTATATCTGAAGCGATTTTCTCCAAATTTGATGTACTTGCTTCTAAACTGAATTCGGTCGGATGTACCAAAATTCAAATCATTTGGAACGCTATTGGCCATTTAGTGCACAATTTTCCCGAAATCGGTTGAGGATATATATGGGAGCTATATCCAAACCTTAACCGATCTCGATGCAATTTGGCAAAGGTATTTTCAAGCTCTATAAGATTTCTGGTACAAAATATCATTCATATGGGATGCATATTACTCATGTGAAGAACTTAAAACCCCAAATCGGACGATACATATACACGGGAGCTATGGCTATATCTGAAGCGATTTTCACCAAATTTGATGTACTTGCTTCTGGACTGAATTCGGTCGGATGTGCCAAAATTCAAGTCATTTGGACTGATATTGGCGATTTGGTGCACAATTAATCCGAAATCGGCTCAACATATCTATGGGAGTTATATCCAAATCTGAACCGATCTCGATGAAATTTGGCAGAGGTATTTCGGAGCTCTATAAGATATCTGATACCAAATATCATTGTTGTCGAATGCATATTACTCATGTGAGGAAAACCCCAAATCGGATGAAACATATATATGGGAGCTATAGCTATATCTGAACCGATTTTCACCAAATTTGATGTACTTGCTTCTGAGCTAAATTCGGTCGGATGCGTCGAAATTCTGGTGATTTGGACTGAGATTGGCCATTTGGTGCATGTCTCTACGAAATATTGAATTTAGTCCGGCTTAATTATGGCTTCGATCTAAAGAATCTTCATTTCGGCTTATCTGAATTTAGGTTCTCATAGGAAATCTTGAATTCAAGTCTGAACTTAGGCTCTCTTAAAGAACTTCATTGGTGCCAAGGTAAATTAAAGTTTCTCTTGGAAATCTTCTTTCCAGCCCACAGGAATTGTGAATTCCACAGATCTTCATTTCATCTAATCTAAATTTAGGTCCCATAAAACATTTTAATTTTTTCCGAACTTAATCTAAAATTTTCACCTGGAATTTAAAATTCTCATTACCTTGAAAAACAGAATTATCAATTTCACTTCACTTACCTTTTTCATTTGGATAAACATTCAATTGTTCGTCATCGCGGGCGACTTGTGTGATTATTGATGTTGCATCCATTTAAGCATAAATTGTTGAACCGAAAATATCCCAAAAAAATAATTCAAAAATTGTTGAAGAAAAAAAAAAGGAAACGATGTTTTTTGTTCAAATGTTGGCGTTGAAGTAGCTTCTTTTTTTTGCGAAACAGCAGGACGTCGTCGTCGTGTATTGATCGAAGAATAATTGAATTCCACAAATTATAATTAAATTATTTATGATTCGATGAAATTTTTATGATTTTAACAAAACAAAAATATTTTATCGAAAAAAATTAACAGCGAAACGAAAATGGAATAATAAAATATTTTGCCGGCAAAAATCACTATGGAATATTTTTTTTTAATAATTTACTTTTTATTTTCAATTTTTTTCTTGTTGATAATTCGATGAACTGAAAATTAACGTAAAGAAATGCACACAGGTTTTAAAAAAGATCTGAAAAGAGAAGAGGAAAAGGAAGAAGATTAATATAAGGAACTCTTGATTTTTTTTAAATTTCTTTCCAGAAGTAGATATTTTTGTCTTGTTTATGGGAAGGAAGATTTTTCTTAGGGAGACCAAACCGGTTACACGGATATTTGACCCGAAAATCCGGTTTCAAGACCCGGGTCTAAACCGGAATCTACCGATATGGAAAATATTGCATTTGAAAGATGATGAAAACTTCTTTCCAGAAGTAGATATTTTTGTCTTGTTTATAGGAAGTAGGATATTTCTTAGGGGGACGAAACCGGTTAACCGGATATTTTACCCGAAAATCCGGTTTCAAGTCCCGGTTCTAAACCGGAATCCACCGATATAGAAAATATTGCATTTAAAAGATGATGACAATCGGTTCAGAAGTTACATTCGACTCAGATGTTTTTTAAAAAGCCCCCAAAAAGTGGAACGAACAACCCAAGTTTAGCAAAAACTTCTGGATTTTTTTCTGAATTATTTTCCAGAGGTAGGTGTCCTAATTCCTGGAAAGTACTTTTTTATTGTGAAGAAGACAAATCCAGATATTGGGTTATTTGATCCGAATATCCGGTTTCAAGACCCGGTTTAGAACCGGATCTACGGGTCTTAAACCGATATGGAAAATATTTCATTTGGAATATTATGGAAATCGGTTCGAGCGTTATATTTGAACCAGAATTTCTTATAAAATCCCCAAAAACCGTAATTAAAGAACCTATATCCGAATATATATATGACATTTTACGCGAGATATCCGGGTATATATTTGACCCGAATATTCGAGTTTAAAACTGATCTACTAAAGCGGTGTGAAAAATATTGACATTTGAAAGCTTTTGCATTCAATAAGTGGTCGCACTATGTACCTCTACAAATCGATCTGGGTGTTTTCTTGATTTTTTCCAACCGGTTTTTTTATAAAACCCAAAATTTTTTTTTTCGATTTTTTTTTTAATTCTTTTCGGAGTTAAATATTTTTTCCATGTTTAGGGGAGAATAAAGGCGTATAGTTGAATACTTGACCCGAAAATTCGGGATCAAACCCGGGTCTACCAAACCAATATTAATTTGAAAACTTGTAAAAATTTAATAGGTTGGATATTTTTTACCTTGTTTAGGGGATAGTACCTTTTTTCTTGGTGTGAAGGACCCTTATACCCGGATATCCGGATTCAAGACCCCGGTTAGAACCGGATCTACGGGTATAAAAACCGATATGTAAAATATTTCATTTGAAGTATTGTGAAAATCGGTTCGAGTGGAATTCTTGCTGGTGGACTAAACCGTATACCCGGATAATTGACCCGAAAAACCGGGTTCAAGACCCCAGTTAGAAACAGATCTATTAAACCGGTGTGACAAAATATTGACATTTGCAGGCTTCTGTAAACCCCTATTCAACAACTGGTCACACGATGTGGTTAAACGATTGGATCTAAGGGTTGTCTTGATTTTTTCCAACCGGTTTTTTTAAAGCCCACAAAAAGTTTTTTTTAACAATTTTTTTGAACATTTTTTCAGAGTTAGATATTTTTACCTTGTTTTAGGGGAAAGTGCTTTTTTTCTTGGGGCGACGAACCCGTATATCCGGATATTTGACCCGAAAGTTCGGGTTCAAAGCCCGGATCTACTAAACCGACTTTCATTTGAAAACTTTTGAAAAAACCTACCAAAAAGTGGAAACATGATGGGGTTATTCAAAACGGTTCAAATATATATTTTTTGAACCGGATTTTTATAAAAACCCGTAAAAAATAAAAAGGTTTGATTATGGGGCTCAGCAAAATAGTTATCAAATTGTAGCTGATAATTAAAGCTTTCTAAAATTAATTTTGATATGGATATGATAAACCGAATATTTGACCAGAATCAAAATAATTGATTTTTTTTTAAACGGATTTTTTTTTTTTTTTTTTTTTTTTTTTTTGTAAAACCCCCTGCAAAAAAATGGATATAATCTTTCAAAAATATTCTTGAAACCGGAAATTTGACACGAAAATCCGGGTTAGACCCGGCACACATTAGACCCGGATTTTTGGTGGCAATTGAAATTGAGATTTTTTTCTTGTTTGTTTTATGAAAATATGAATTAAAAAATATTTCCATTTTATTTTATTTTATTTTTATTTATTTTTTTTTTTTTTTTTTTCATTTCAACAAGAATTGGAAATTTGAGATTTTTTTTGAAGTTCCAATTTTGATAAATTAAATCTGAGAAGTATTTTCAAAAAAATGGGCGTTTTCGTTGCCACACACAAAATAATGCAAAACAACTGTTCATTTAAAAAATAAAAATTCCAAAACCGGCTTTGCAGATTTTTTCGAAAAATAATCCAAACCGGTCTTTTGTGTTGGTTGAGACAAATCTCAAGTCAGCCAGCCACCCAGTTATGATTCATAAATGGTTTTTCTCGATGATAAGTGGTGGATAATCTGGTGGCTGCTGGCTGGTGGTGGAGTGGAAAAAAGGTCAATGCTACAATGCCATTTTTCTTTAATGAATTCAATTTGTTTTCGAAATTCTTTGCCAACTGTCACCAAATTTCATAGGCCAATCTATGGCAAATACCTATCAGGTCCAATAAAAATAGCAAAAATAAAATATGGGATTGTTCAATACGAATTTTTAATTTCATTTTATGATTGTGAACGCACACACCGGCACACATTTGTCCGCCGTGCACTCATCAACAATTTTATTTAATGGCCATTGAAAACACACAGATACTCCTCACACTCAACACTGAAACACACACGCACACACTAGTACAAACACACTCAGATAAGAATTGTTATTTCAATTTTTGTTGTATTCTTACCTTCTTTGCTTTTTCTTTATATTCCCTCTTTTTCTGCTTCTTTTTGTTTGTATTTCTTTTTGCGTTATAAAGCAGAGATATTTTTTCCCTTGAATTTCCTTGCTGCTGCTGCTGGATTTTGATTTTATTTTCTTTTCGATTATTTATTATTTAAATTTATTATTGCACTCTTTAGATTGGAGAGAAAATAAAATCTTTAAAACCGAAATAAACTGAAATTTATTTTATTAGAATTCAAACACAAAATCCAAATGAAGGCAACTTAAGAATTTGAAATGAACTGCTGCTACTGCTGTTGTTGTTGTGGTGGCTTGGGATGACTGCAAGAGAGGCTGCTGTTTTTCTTTTATTTTTTTCTTTATTTCAACTGCATTCTATTTCTTTCTTATTCTCTTTTTTGTCGTTTCTTACTTCTGTTTTGCTTTACTATTCAACTTGTCGTATTTTCTTCGTATTGCGTTTCGTCGTCGTCGTTGTTTGCTCTCTCTCACTCATTCACACTCACACGGATGGGTCGGAGGAATCCAAAATTATACGAAATTTTTATCTTTTCCTTTCAACTTTTTTTCTTCTAATTTTGTTTTGTTTACGCGCAACAGTCAGAGTCTGGCTGGCTGGCTGGTATCTGCTTTTAGACAACTTTAATTTATTTTAATAAAAATTATTCTTTTTTTCCCAAATTTTGTTTTGCTCACATTTCTCACAAGAATGCACTCACACACCCGATATTATTAATGCGAACTTGTTTTAAAAACTGAAATAATTAAAAAATAATTATTCTTTTTTCACGATTTTCTTTTCTTCGTATATTCTTTGTCGTTTCAATTCATTTTTTTCCGTCCGCGACCAGTCAGTTCATTTTCATTGTGTCTAAATGTGACTGAGGCAAATAGGGATACATAGGTCGACTTTTGATTAATCGGCTTTTAGTAAAGTCGTAGTCGTCGATTGGATGTACTAAAAATCATTAAAAACGATTATTTACAATCGACTTTCGATTTTTGTCATCTATTTTCGCAGATATTTTTGCGGTTTTTTGTTGTGGGACAATAAATATGTTGAGAAGATGAAAATATGCAATTTTAGTAATGGTAAAAAGAGGATAAAGAAAAAAACATAGCAAAATTATAAGATGTGATTTCTTCAGAGCTAAAGGAACGATTAAAAAACACATTTGGTCTGCAAGAATGTAAAAGTTTTTAATACGGAAACTAATTTTACCTTTATGAAATCTCGAAAAGTAGCAAAACTAGTAGATTCTTGAAGAATGCAAAAGTTTTTACAACGATAACCATTTTTTCCTTTATGATATTGAAAAAATTGGAAAACTAGTAGATTCTTGGAGGTTCTGGAACGGAGCAAATAATATTCAGAAAAATACATGAAGTTTGTATTTTAATTGATAGTACGGTCCTTATATGCTTTATTCCAGAACTGCAAAAATGTAAAAAAAATAACTACGATAACCGATTTTTCCTTCCTGATTTTGGGAAAAAATGAAAAACTAGTAGATTCTTACCGGTTTGTGCGTAGTAGAAGAATATAGGTAGTCGCACCGACATAGCTGCTGGGAAAATTAAGTTCACGAATAAATGCTTCAATGTTGTCTTCTAATGCTTAAAATTAAGCGGGATCGTCTGAATAGCCATGAGCTTTAATAATCCCCTTCATAATTATGTAAAGGTGTGGCTACATAAGTCTTCACATAGCATATTTTGTGACATATCAAAAAGGGATGCCAGAGACGCACTCTATTTCTGTCATCGTTTCCCTTTATAATTTATTCATTTTTTTTTATTCCATACCATAATTTTTTTTCCAAATGATTAATTTTTGACTGAAATCACATAATCGAAAACTCGATTATTTCTTTTCATTAGTTTTCTCGGTATTATTCGTGTTTGCACTGAATGTAAGAAACTTGGCATCACTTTTACATCCATTTCTGCCGCCGTTAAAAACGTCCACTCTGTACTTTGTCATATTGCCAGACTCATTTTAAACCGTTTGATTTGATTTTAAAAAAAATAAAACAAAAAAAACGTTGGAAAATTGAAAAAATATGTATGAAAAAAAAAAAATAAGATTTTAAGTGGCAGCAGCATAGCTTGAGAGAATGAATCATTATTTTTTATATGAACACGACATCCACAAAGAATTAAAATAGTTATGGAGTGCCATTTCTAAGGGTAATTAGCGCAATTTACTCTTGGAATGTTATAAATAACCTTGTTATAAATTTTCTTTTCAGCTGGCCACACCAATTACTCAATCAAAAAGAAACTCGATGGAACACTCTAAGTAGCATTCGTTTTCAGCAACCTCCAGCTATGGCTGAGCCCAACCTGCGCTAATTTCATTTCCAAAGCTTTCAAAAACGGCTTCAAAGCTTAGAATAGATTGCGATTCAACTTTAATAGGAGAAGTTCGCGAAAAATTCGTGGAGAGCCAGCAAAGAATTGAAATAGTTATGGGATGAAAGTTCTAAGGGTAATCAGCACGTCCCAAGGATAATCATAAACGACCTCGTTGTTATGATGACTTCTAATTTTAATGGCACTGAACACGACCGTTTCTAATTTCAATTCTAAAATTGCCAAAAACATTGCAAATCAGATTTAATTGGAAGAGACTATGAGAGATGTAAAGAAGCACTTTTAACACCAAATTGATGGCTACCAAATGCGACTTACCAAATTAAGAGAGAATTTAATTTTTGGCTTACGGACCACTAGCCGATAATATTGCCCTTTGAAGGATTTTAGAGATATAATTTCTTTGCTAAAGAAATATATACCCTTCCCAATATGCAACTTTAAAAATCAGTAAATACCGATACATCTTTCTTTGGTATCATGACAAACATACAAAAGGTATTTTCTCGTATTTTGGGAGGAGAGCATACCAGATAGACTGTGTTGGAATCTGTTAATAGGCTAAAACTTAAATTCGCTTCAAAAGACCATCCCTTCATCTTTAAAGAAAACATTTCAGGACAAGGCCTATTCTCAGGACTAACAACATTTTTTTAGAGACGCTTATAGATTTAGCGGTAAAAAAATAAATATAATCATAGGAACTAAACCTAAACCAAAAATTTCCCAATAATTTTTATAAAAAATGTTTTTTTTGTTGTAATTTATTCCATCGTAACAAAAAACAAATACATTTTACTCAACAATTACGCCTCAACCTGTTTGGTATCCTTAACAGCTGATGCTTTAGCATCTTCAGCTATTATATCCTTCAAAATATACTTTTTCGTTTCGAAATAATCACGATACCACAAAATGTGATCCTTCTTTTCTTGGGCCGTTAGATAGGGATTCTTGGACAGACCCACACATACCAACTCCATGAAATGGCGTATGGGACCACGTGTGGGACACCATCCCTCTAAATGCTGCTCCAAAAAGATGTGTTCCGAAAAGTCCACATCCTTTTCCGCCGACCAATCTTGTTCATTGTCTATGGGGAAACGCCACACTTTACCCTGCTCCGTCCACAAGGCCAATTTATCGAAATAATTATTGGGTGGATGGCTTACTTGCAGTTTCAGTGATTGTTCTTGCAAATACGACCAAGTGGGCAAAAGATCTGCAGATTCCTTAAGTTGTGCGGGATCAGTAAAGATACCCAAAGGTTCTCCACCAAACAGATTAACACTTCCAGTGTAGGTGGCGGCTTCTCGAGGACGCTGGGCAGGGCGCTTATCCTTCGAACTACCTCCATCTTTGCGATACTGCTGTTTTTGACTACCCTTGGCGGCAATGGAACGACGAACATATTCACTGCGTGTAGGCGCGGATTCCTTTTGATTCTGGCGACGATCGATTTTCATGCCCACAATCAAGTCGCTCAAGCTTACATCGGATTCAGATGATTTTTCGCCCTCTGCACCAGATGCTGCCGCAGGCTTTCCTCCCAACAGCTTAGCCAATAATTCCGATTCGGTTTTTTGTTTATTCTCCTCCCCCAACAGCGAAGCTACACGCTTAGCTGCTGTAAAAATATCCTTAGACTCAGCTTGTTGCTTAACTTGTTGTTTCTTTTTCTTATTGGCATCACCAGGTTTGGGAACAACATCATAGTTTTTATTCAAATTCATGTGATCCTCGGTTTGCATGGAAGCCAACAAACGGTTCAGCTTGGACGATGCGGACTCTTCGGCAGCTGGCGTCGTGGGGGACTTCTCTTTTTTAGCTTTGGATTTCTTGGGTTCTTTTTCATCGTCTGATGAGTCGTAATCTCGACTATAGTTGCGAGTACCGGCCAGGAAACGTGCAGCCAGATTCCTGCAATTTTCAATTTAAATGTGAGATGTTTTGAGGAAAATTGAGGAATTTTATAAAATACCTTATGGTCAGCTCTTGGGTTTTACGTAAATACAACATTTTAATTGATTTTTTAATAAAAACTTAAGAGATATGTCCCCCAATTACATGAATCCATGCGAGCAAAAATAGGGATCTAAAAATCGTTTTTGGGTAATTGACAATAACAGCTGTTTCTCTTTGATTGAGAGTTAGTAAATACGTAACGTAGGCGTAGCCTTGCAGAAATCAGTGCTTTCAATTGTAATAACATTTCAAAATTGAATTGTTGTCTGTTTATTATATTTCAAAACTATGATTTGTATTCAAAAATACATTTTTCTTCAGATTTTCTCCCAGACAATTGATGATTGCTTTCCGCTGCTTTAGATGTTTTAATTAAGATTAATATTGAATTCAATGATACCAAAAAATATGAAGTAACAGCTCATTGTATTGTAAATAAATTTTACAACCTGAATGAATGTAACTACGATACTAAAAAAATATTAGATTCTCGCCGGTTAAGCACAACGCAATGGAATATTAGCCCCAAGTAAATTTAGCAATATTTAATTCTTTTTTCAATTTTATTTTTTTAATATAAAATATAATTGTGAATATTTTTTAGTGCGATTTAATATATATCGAGTGTATAATTACATATATAAATTATATGTACTAATGTAAATGGGGATGTGTGAAAGGATATAAATATATATCCCACCCGAAACTGGGCAGGATATAACAAAATGGAATAAGGCAAATAAAATTATTAAAGGCAAATATTAGTAAATATTTTTGAATTATTTACCAATTTATCTTTTTTTCATAATGTGAAATGCAGCAAATTAGGATGAGAACAAGGCAGGTTAAGAGAGGAGAGTAAGAGAGACAAACAAGAGTTTAAAAATATTGTCATTTTAAAATAATAAAATACGTTTCTCCACAGTTTTACGACAAATGGGACAGCCATCGATTTGATCGCCACAATTCTGACATGTGCCATGGCCGCAAAGGAAAACCATATTCTTCATGCGATCAAAACAAACCGGACACATGGTCTGAAAAAAAAAGAAGTAACATTCACATTTTATAAAAGCCTCACAGACCTATTCCAGCATTACTCACCTGTTCCTTAATGTCCTGTAACTGTTGTTTCAATTTTTGCACATCATCCTGGAAGTTGTTAACGTTAGATGGTGCCATTAAAACACTGTTGGCATTATTGCTAGCAGCCAGTAAATTATTCTGCGACTGGACTTGGGCATTCAAACCATTCGGTGTGGTCGTAACCGTGTTGTTCATTGCCACTCCATGGCCCGATGTGTTAATGCCACTAACTAATATGCTGCTCTGCGGTTTCTCATTTTCATGATGGATATTGTGATTTTGAACCTGCAAAATTGAAAATCCCTACAAAATTGTTCCACAATCTAAACATTAATGCACAAACCTTCTCAATGCTTCCTTCGCCGCCACAGCATAGTGAATAAGGCATCATTTCCTCAATTTGTGTACGACACAGTACACATTTCTTCATGAGACTCGAACAGTTGGCACAGGCCACCATGTGGCCACAGGGTTTAAAGAATACTGAAGCTCTACGATCAGAGCATACCAAACACTCATCGATTTTTTCACGTGAAGCGACCGCTTCCCGGCAAATAAGACATTTTTTAACGCGCGGAGCACAATTATCGCAACAGCAGACATGACCACAGGGCTGTGAAATAAAACTGCATTAGAATTCTATATTTCAAAACGCTTACCCAAAACCTACCTTAAACACCGTATCTCTTTTGTAATCGGAACATAGGAAGCATTCATCTAATGTGGAAGCATTGTTGCTGGCATCATTTGCATTTGTGGTAGAAGTTGTAAAGTTAAGAGATTGCGACAAATCCTGGGGCATTGTGCTAAGACCACCGCCACCACCACCTGATGCAGCTGCCGCCGTATTATTTGAGCCTGAGGCCACAACATGTAACGGCAATTGGGTGGACGAAGATGCATGTAGACCACCTCCACTGACTCCACCAACACCCCCAATAGTATCAACAGCCGACAAGGGCCTGCTACCCGCAGCCCTGGCTCTTGAGCTGGTACCAGCCACATTACCCGGCAATTCGGAATCATCAGTTTTACGTTCATTATAACACTTAACCAAAGTTTTGCAGAGATTCGGATCGGGACACAAATCCAAGGGAGTTTGCAGTTTACGATTCTTCAGCGTCAAATCAGCTCCATTGGCAGCCAAAAAGCATGCAATTGAAGCCGAAGCCTTTTTGTTGTTGGGATTACGCAGTCCCATTAGCAGTTTGCCAAATCCTTCGACATCCTGCAATTGTTTCAATTGGGATAAAGTGTGATGTCTTAGGGCCTCGTGCAATGGCGTATCACCATCTTTATCGGGAATGTTTAGATTGGCTCCTTCCTGTACCAATAATTTGACAATTTGCACATGTTGGCGTTCGACGGCCAAATGTAAGGCCGTTTGTAGGTTAACATTTTGCCTATCCATATTGGCTTTGCCACTGTGGACCAGCAATTCCGCAATTTCAACATGATTGTTGAGAGCTGCCAAATGTAAGGCTGTATAGCCGTCATCCTTTTTCTCCTCCACTATCCAAGGGCGATTGGTTTTGGTAAGTAAGATCTTCATTGCACTCGGATTGCCCTTCAAAGAGGCATGATGCAAGGCATTAAAGCCATTGTTATTGGTCAAGGTGATATCAGCCCCGTAGTCGAGCAATAAACTTAACATTTCGTCATTTTCCTTGGAAATGGCATCATGCAGGGGTGTGTCACCCTCGGAATCCTGCAAACTGGGATGCGAACCCAAACTCAGCAAAGTTTTCACCACATTTAAGTGACCCTTGTTGACGGCAATGTGCAAGGCCGTTTGTCTACGCTTGTTGCGGGCATTCAAATCAGCTCCAGCTTTAGAGAGCAGTTCTATGACAGCTGGTTCATCACCAAACGCCGCATGATGTACGGCCCTATCACCATCTTTGTCTTCAATTTCCACATCAACATTGTGGCGTAGCAAAACTTGTATGACTTCAATGTGACCATTTTGGCTGGCAGCCTGGAGGGCTGTGTGGCCCGCAAATACCCCATTGACATCGGCAATTGTGCTGGCCGCCGAACCTGAACTGCTGCTGCCAGCTGCTCCACCATTTTGTGATCCGGCCAGAGACGAAGAGCTGCTGGCATTTTGTATGTTGCCTGTCAAATACTCCTCGCAGCGGGCAGCATATCCGTTGGCTGCCGCTTTCACAAATTCCTCGGTGGCATCACCGGAAACACTTGGCTCAAACAATTTCTTTAATATGGCCGATAGACGTTCACCACTGGAAATTACCGGTACACAACTGCCGTCGGCAGCATTTGCCGAGGCCACCTTGGTCACAGCCAGCGGATTATAGGTCCATGAGGTGTTGCCCACCTCCACCTTGAGGTCATTGTCATGATATACTTGTTGCACTCTTCCCACCTTACCCAGTGTTAATTGCATGGCATCAGCCCATTCACCATGGCCTCTTTGCAATTGTTTAATGCTCTCGACATCTGAGCAGATTTTAACAATATCACCCACTTGAAATTCAGGAGGAGCTGCACTAGGTGATGAGACCTTGGTGAGTACGGCTGGATTAAAGGTCCAACGGTTGCCCGAATTGTATCCAACAACAATGTCATGATCTTCATCAATGCCTACAACCATGCCCACGTTGTTAAGACACTCAAACATGCCATCAGTCCAACCGCCATGGCCATGTTGCAAAGATTGCACAATTTCCAGATCCAAATCCACGGTGACTTTGTCACCAATTTGAAAGCCATGAGGTCCCTTGCCGGGACCATTTTCTCCCAGCAATGGCAGGTGGTCACGATAAACCGTATTACCTTTGGCATCATTTACGACCTGCAATTTTAAAGGCAATTTTAGAAAACATTTCAACAAATTTACTGTGTTCTCTTACCTTCAAATCAGCCATGCCCTCAAAGCCAACCCGATACAAATTCTTGGCTCCATTATCCCACACCACATAGGCAGCGGAGCGTGGTGAGGCCGAGGACCAATCTTGTACTTCATTCACCTTGCCACGACGGCCAACACCACCATCCTGATCCTCCCATTGCCAGTCGACACCACGTACCACCCGAGCTCCCGGAAATATACCACGTACAGCTACTTTTTTCGATTTACGCCTGGGCTCCAACATGGTACGTTCTCCACCAGGTGTTGATATGCGATAGAAACGGTGGCGCAAATGATGTTTATCACCATGATAACAAATCGAACATAAATCATAGTTGACACATTCGGCACATTTCCAACGTATGCCGAAAATCGGCTGCTGTCGACATGTGTCACACATGGTGCCATCGTGTTTAATGCCTGTCGGGGCACTGTCCAAAATGCGTAAATCGTAAGCGCCGGCGCAACGATAATTCGCAGCCGTGCCGTTGTCCCATACAACGACAACCTCTTCGGATGATTCGAAGTTGCGTACGGTGCCAACATGACCCTCGCCACCATCCTGTAACAGAAATAAAACATGAATAATTTTTTTTATGGTCTATGGAAGGAAGTAAAGTTGTTGAATATATTAAAAAATAGATTGTATAACTTAACCGCATACGCCTAAACCCCCTCCCCTTTCATGTCTCGCAGAACCGGAAATATGTATTAGAAGTTTTTAATTTTAAACCATGCATTCATTAGAAGGGTGTCTACGTCTTGTTCTGAGATCATTCACTTGGTTATTGGGTTTCGAAAAACAATAGGTTTTGTAGTCGAAGTGTTTTCAAAGCGAGCAATAAATTCAATTACTTTCAATCAGCCAAATGTTCACACAACAAGATGTGTCACCAAGAGGTCAATAGGCAGGCAATGAACAAACATTTATCGTGTTAGTGTGTTAAAAACAGCAGATTTTAACTATGGCCATTCAACACTCACCTGTTTACCCCATTTCCAATCGGGACCACGGATTACCCTGGCTCCAACACCCTCCATGGCAAAACGAGACTGACGATTTACAATGCTGCCATTTCCCGCAGAACTACCAGCTGTTTGTGCTTGTCCCCTGACCGACGCTGTGCCATGAGCTGTTGCAACCACTCCCGTTGCCCCACCCACTGCTCCTGTAACAGATGAAGCACTACCACTAATCGAGGCTGATGCTACTGCTGCACCTCCGCCGCCGCCACCGCCGACCGCACCAACAACAGATGATGATGAACTGCCTGCTACTGACAAAGTTGTGCTTGCTCCTGTGCCAACATCCTTACCAGCAGCAGATGCTGCACCACAATCCATTAAATTTTAATTTATGGAAGTCAATTGCAGACGTTGACAAGAGAAACAATTTGGATTTCTTCTTCACTTTTTTTTTTGTTTCTTGGACGTTTGTGTACGTACGTATGTGCGTTTGCAGCTTTCGTTGTGTGTGCGTTTGTCGATGAGAAAAAAATGCAATTGGTTTCTTTGTAAAAAATTTCTCTCTGGAAATTTCGCTTATTTCAATGGAAAATAATCACACTTTTTTAATTTCTTGAGTCCTGGATAATTGTGTGCTATTTTTCTCGTACGGAAGATATTAGTTGGAATTGATTTATTCGTTTTTTAAAAAAGAAAAACTGTGATTTGTGAAATTCCTACCGAGAAGTCTAAAGTTAAGAGTCGTACTGGAAAAATTATGCAACGCCGTCAGATAATTCATGGGTGGCGATGTGTTTAACCCTACTATGAGCGAAGCACTCTCTGAGAGCAAGGAAACCTTTTGTTTTGAGGGAAAATAAAGCAAAAATGGGGAAATATTATAATTTTATATAAAAATATAAATTAAATAATTAATAATTGATCTGTGAAAAAGATATTTTATCGATTAATGTAAAATAAATCGAATATATGATTGATTTGTTGTCTCTCTCGCCAAAATTTGATCATTTTCATCAAGGATGATAATATGATCCATAATGTGTACACTACTTTATTCTTTTGGGGGGGAAATCTGTCAAAAGTAAAATAATGTGGTACACCCTCAGAAACAAAAATTATCAAACATGGCTCATGTAGCTTGATTTACTTAAATTTAATCATATTAAGGCATCATAGTCTAAGGAGATAAATAGAAAAAAAGAAAACTAATAAGTGCTTCATCAAGAGTTATGTTCTTAAAAGTAGAAATCTAAACAGTAATAAAAAAAAAAAAAATATAGAACGACAAGAAATGATAGCGTATAAAAAATATCAATATGGGAAAAGACATTAAGTAACGTACTATTAAAAATAACATACAAATTAAGGTTTATTTATATTGGTCCCCTTGGTAAAATGTTTTTCCTTCTGAAATTACAGCGTACAATGACGCCAAATAAAGTTGGGGAAGTTTTTTACCCATCTATGTGACCCTTTCCCCCACTATGGTCGCTTCTTCATTCCACCTTTAAGTGATTTTAGTGAATATTCGTGGCAGCCCAGACAAATAATCATTTGCATTTTGTCTTTCACTTAAGATTTATTATAAAGAATAAATTTGTTCAGTATTTTCCTTTAAGTTTACACAGAAAATTTAACTTAAAAAGCATTTGAAAACAATTTCTTACTATTGTAATGACTGGATTAACAAGCACACGGTGACAAACATATTATGGTATATTAATATATTTAACATTTATACAGATTTTGTTTGGAAATATTTCTCATCGATGAAACGGCAAAATTGTACCAACGACTTGAACTTTTGTACACTTTGTGCTAATGCCATATTGGGTAGATTGATTGTAAGTACCGAGAACAGATGTCCAAAGACAATGGCATCCAATTCACATGGCTGTTCGCCATAGAAGAAGGGACCATCACGTTCCTTGAGCTTAAGGTTTAGGGTTTCACAACATTTTTCCACCTTTTCCATGACATCTTCGATTTCCATATTGTCCCATAGGTAGACTTTCAGGAGTTTCTTTGCTTGTCGTTTCTTTGAGGCATTTTGTATTTTATTCAATGGCCATGGAAAGACACAGCCATTGCGGGGAGCAGTCACTTCGTTGTAGACACGATCTACCATAAAACTAATATAGATTTCAGCCATGGTGAATATGTTTTCCGTCAACGAGACATAAGTACGCATTTCCGATTTCTCGTCCTCATCCAACCACTGGCCAATGGCAGAGCTTTGGTGTTCAACAAAGTTGACGATAGGTTCAAATTCGGCAAACACAAATGCCCCCACCTGTAGCACCGGCAATTTGGTCATGCGACCGCCTGGTGACATAAACTCAGCATTGGCGCAGGATCTCACCTCGAAGGGAAGATTGCACATCTTGAGGTATGCCTTGACGGCCAAACAACTGGAATTTTCATACAGCAAAATCTGTTCAGCTTCGTAGGGTTGATAGAGTGTGGGCAGGGGGTTTTCTGGCCATGGTTCGCTCATTTTGTCCTTGGTATTATATTCGATAAGTACTTGTGATTTCTGCATTATAGACGCACATTTATTGTAAATGTTTTTAGTTAAATTTAATTTGATCGTCTATTTTATTAATAATGCTATGCTTACACAATTGTTTCTCACGCACGAACTTGCCTCTCTCTGTTGTGATTTTGAGAACAAAATAAAAAAATATGACATATAAATGACGTGAGCTCCAGGCGATAATGTTGCCAGACTTGTCGTATTTGATAGTAAACAAATGTTTTCGCTATATTTGGTTATCGATATATTTTGAGACATAAAAATTACAATTGTGGAGGATTGCCACACTACATTTACATTAAATGGTTTATATAAAAAAGCAACTCGTCAAATAATAAAACAAAAAAATTAACCTTTTTTTTAATTTTAATTGTATAATTTTAATTGTGCTAATATTAATAAACAAAAAATATCTTTACGTCAAAATGCCCTCGATATACAACTTTTGGGTTTAACATTTCGAAGTGAATCACAGATATCAGCTGTCTCAGACTGAAAATGCACGCCTACAGTTTTTCAATAGGAGCTTTGTAATCTGTTTTAGCTTTCTCTCTCTCTCGGTATGCGTCGGCACATCTCTGTCAACTAAAACAAATATAACGTTAGCCAAGGTGGAGAGGAGACGTAAATACACAAAAAAAAAACTACATTGAATTATATTAAAAAAGAAAGAAAACGTCAGAGATAAGGACAAAGCAGCGACAGAAGGGTTTTGTTTTTGTTGATCTCAAATAAAGACAAAAATTAGAATTGCAGTAGAACTAAACATGTCCAACAACACAGATACCGGAGATACTGCAGTCATAACCGTAGGGGATGGAAATGAAACAACGACACCAGGCATGAATGATTCCATGCCAGTGCGTGAGCCATTGGTAGGTGGCTTCTATTCGGATATCAGACACTAATCTACCATTTGTTTAATTGCTTAATCTGTATTTTGTAGATAACAACGGCTATTAACTTCCTACAAAATGCCAAAGTACGACACACTACGTTGGTGCAGAAACAGCAATTTCTGAGGTCCAAAGGTCTCACCGAAAAAGAAATACAAATTGCCTGTGAAAGGGCTGGGGTCTTTAGCCAGGATCCAAATGCTCCAACCGTTATAAATATGGGTATCAATGCCACCCAGACTCATGCCCAATTGGCACTGCAACCTGCACCACAAACGGCATTGGGTCGCATTAAGGAGATTTTACACTCCATGGCTTTGCTGGGTGGTGTGGCCTATGCCATATATGCTTTTTGGAAGGTGCGCAGGATATGGTAAATGGGTTTTGTTTATATTTTTATAATGTATTTGTGTTTGTGTGTTTTAGAAATTTCTGGAACCCTTTCTTTTTGGCTCAAAGAAGAAGAAATCCACAGATGATGCCCTGGCGGATATAGACAAAAAGGTGGACACACGTTTAGGCGAAGTTAAAACGGAATTGAGCCAAGTCAAGGAGTCATTGGCCCGTGAACAACGTGATCAAACACAACAGTTTATGCGTGAATTTAATCAATTCAAAAGTGATTTAGAGGCTATTAAGGGACTGCTGCTAAATCGCAAACAATTTGCCTCACCCTTGGTAACGGCCGGCCCAGCTTCCATACCAGCCTGGCAATTATCCTCGTCATCGCCGCATCATTTGCGACGCCACAAAGATAGCCAATCGGATGATAATGATAAACCAGATGATGTTGGTTCCGGTTCGGGTTCATCGGAAACTGAAGTGGTTACCAAAAACAGTGATTCCAGTTTAGAAATTATGTAAAACAAAGGCATATGTGCGTGTCGGTGTGGCATACTAATGAAATAATATGCATAAACTATGTGAAAAAAGTGAAAGATGCTATCTATATAAAAAAAGCGAAAAGATGATCAAATTGCTTACTTTTGTTTTTTAAAAGTATATGTAGATAAGGATTTGATAAAATTTTGGCAATATACAGCAGTGATGATAGACGGATTATCTTTTTAATCTAATCATGTTTTGTATGTATGTATGTTTGTATTTTTTTTGTTTACTTTGAGTGAATGTAATTGAATTTTCATCATAATTTTTTTGTGTAGAAACAAAAAAAAATTAGAAATATATTTCCATTTTTTTGTAAAAATTTGATTTTTTTTTTTTAATTTTTGTTTCAAATTTAGAAATGTTTGTATTTTTTGTATATTAAGTTTTAAGTTAATATACCTGAGCATATGGGTATTATTTTGAAAAATTTGCCACTCTCTCCAATTGGCCATAAACGAAGATATATCAGCATCAAAATATTAGATTTTTTCATAATATGTCCTATTCCAGAACCTGCAAGAATCTACTAGTTTCCGATACATCAAAAATCGGTTATCCTGATAACATTGTTATATTCTTGCAGGCTCTGAAACAGAGCAATAATTCCATGTACAGGGTGAGATGAAAAAACTGCAACCACTTTCAGACTTCTGTCATTCCTAGGCCACTCGTCCGACAGCTGTTAAAATTATGCCAGTGACAGCTCATTACATTGTTTACAAGCGTACTAAAGCATTTTGCTGAGAATGGGCCAAAATACCGCAGAGCAATATTCGGACAACGTGTGACGGTATCATTGGCCATGAAGGCCATAATTCGTGCCAAAAGTGACCAATGCTTTCATTCAATGAAATTTAAAAAAAATGTAAAAATTATGACTTTTGACTTTGTTGCAGTTTTTTATCTCACCCTGTATTCTTAATTCTATTTGCAATAGAATTTAAATACTAATCTGAGTCCAAATCTTATGTCCAAAATTTTGTCTTGTTATACCCTCCACAATGGCATGGAGGGTATATTAAGTTTGTCATTCCGTCCGTCCGTCTGTGGAAATCACTCTAGCTTCCGAACGAATTGAAGTAGATTGATAAAATTTTACTCAAATGTATATTATGTCTGCAGAACTTTTGTTATTGAAAATGAGCCATGTAGGTCCACGTTTTGGTATAGCCCCCATATAACGATATATCCCGATATTCGGTATTTTGATGATTTTAACAACATTATTCACCGGAATTGTTTCAATTTTGGTATTTGATGTTCGTAATGGATGCTACAGCCTATGACAGGAGATTGTCTGTGCATGTCCACGTCTTCGTATAGCCCCCATATAACGATATCTCCCGATATTCGGTATTTTGATGATTTAAGCGACATTATTCACCGGAACTGTTTAAATTTGGTATTTGAAGTTCGTAATGGATACTACAGCCTATGACAGGAGATTGTCTGTGCAGGTCCATGTCTTCGTATAGCCCCCCGATATTCGGTATTTTGATGATTTTAACGACATTATTCACCGATTTTTTGTTTAAGTTTCGCATGGCTTATTACAAATGTTACCTATGCAGGTCCATCATATCGTCGTATAGACCCTAATATAAAAGCTACATTCGGTATTTTTAAGATTTTAACAGAATTTTTAGCGGATTTTATTGTTTTTGAGACTTACCACATTCGTTCCAAATGGTGGAGGGCTCGACCCGGCCGAACTTACAGCTTTTTTATTTGTTTTTTTTAGGAAATTATAAAATCTCCCCTTTTTTACCTTAGGAAAAATCCTCCCATGTTCCTGAAAAAGAAACTCATTCTTGTTTTTTTGCTTTTCAACTACAATTTCTTTATTTGTGTATTTTTCAAATATTGAATTATTTTTATAGTTTAACAAAAAAAGTTAGGATTTCGTTTTGTAATATTCCGATTTTTTTATTATTTTTTCTAATTATGACCATTGAGGCTTGGGGGTGGTAAATGGTGGTTGGATGAATATGAATATGTCAACAAAATTAATGATTTTTTTTTTTTATAAAATTAATTTTATTTTGTGGGGTGGTAGATTATTAAACGGTTTTTAAAAGTAGAACATTTTTGCTATATTTAAATCCTTGGACAAGCTTTGTTTAAATATCGCATATAGTTTGTGTGTGTTTGAGATTTATTTATTATATACCAATTACTTTTACAATTTTGCTAATAAAATGTTTTTGGGGGGTGGAGGGTGTGTGAGAGTGTTTGCTTGGTTGGTAGGGGAGTTTTAGGGGTGGTGTGTGTTGGAATTAGTTTTATTTGTAATTTATTTATTTTGTTTGTAAGAGATATTTTTCTAAAAATTCGTATTGAAATTTAAAATGTGAATAATAGTCTTGATTTTGTTTTAGCTAAATTTGTTTTTTTTTTTCTTTTTAATGTGGATAGATGATGTGGATGTTGTTTTGTCAGCTTGAAGGTTAACAATATTATAATTTAGTTTCTGTTTCCTTTTTGTTTTTTGTACATTGAAATGAGCGTTTGTTTTTTTAATGATGTTGATGAAATGTCAATGCAAAAATCTTATACATTTAGTATATCTTAATAGTGTTTTTTGTTGTTGTTGTTGTAGTAATAAATTAAATTTAGTTTTATAAAAAAAAGAAAACGTTAATAACTTATAAATAACTAAATGTCTATATTAAAAAAATTTGTAAATCATAATTAAAAAAAATTGCCACAAATCTTTGATGATTTCATCTCTTGACCTTTGCCTTAAAATTAGAAATTTCAGTTTTTATGTTTCTTATAAAGTGGATTTTTTTTTTTGTAAAAGTTAGATGTTGTGTGATTTTTAAAGTTTTACTCAAACTTTCCTGGTTTAAAATAGCTAAGCAGAAGAAAATCTCTAAAAAATATATAGTTTTTAAACAAATAATATATACAAAATGAAATATTCTCATATATAGGGCAAATTCTTAGTTGTAGCACAAAGAATGGAGGAAAAGGAAAGCAGACAACAGCGAGAGGGGGAAGCTATTTTAATATCAACAAATATTTTCACTCCAAGATTAAAAATGGTGTTGAGTTTTCGGTCTTGATTTTCTTTCTCAGACAGAATGAACAACGAAACTACTTTTACCCAGCATTTTAAAATAAACCTTTCTTGAGTTTGTAACTGGTTGTTTCCAATTCCAACCGAAATATTCATGAAATATTTGAAAATCTGCATTAAACAGTTCAAGGAAATGACATAAACGTCTTTCATACAATTTCCATATTCAACAAATTTTCCAATTTCAACCGAAATATCCATAAAATATTTGAAAATCTGCATTAAACAGTTCAAGGAAATGACATAAATGTCTTCGATACAATTTCCATATTCAACAAAAATTGTATTTCATTTAAGAATTGAGAATTGTAGACATTTCAAAACCCAGTAAACGATGTTTAGAATCTACATCAAATCATAGCTACGTTTCAAAAACATCGTGGCTCAAAACTCCCTCTCCTCTTCTATGTCATGCTATTCCTTATGCCTCTCTCTCCATTATTCTTAGTTTAAGTAGAAGTTTTTTTTAATAAAAAAAAAATAGTAATAAAAAATAGATCTCCATTTTTCCTTTACTCCTATTCCTTATCTTTAAACCGCCGAATTGATTACCGATTGAGCAGCTGTAGTTGTTATGGCTCCACCTGGAGCTACAGAACTTGAATTGCCGCTTACCAGTGAGGCAAAGGCAGCAGCCGCTGCTGCTGATGTACCCGAAACGGAGGTGGCAGCCGCTGTTGCCGTAATAGAGACATTAGCCGATGTGGTGGCGGCATGTTCCAGCAGCGGTGCCGGCGACAATGATGTCGAAGATGTTGGCGACGAACAATCACTCTGTAAACTTAAGGCCGGCGATGCGGAGGCATGATAATTCGAGGGTGGTGTATGCGGTGATAAGTGGGAGGGCGACATGCCAGCACCACCGCCATAACTACTGCTAATCGATGATATGCCACTTGAGGTGGAGGCACCTGATGGCGAGGCCATGCAGGTGGGTGTTGTTGCCGCACTGTTCGACAGGGTGTTGTGTGGTGAGGGTGAAAATCCCATAGTGGTATTGCTTGTCGTATAGATTTGTTGATGTTGTGGCGTCGATGAACCACTAGACATTGTGGAAGCTGATGATGAGTGGCCCAGGCCGGACGATGATGATGCTGATGATGAACTGCTATTGCTAGAGGATCCCTGAGACGATGTTGAGGGTTGTGTTGTGGATGACGATGATGCATTGGCGGCATTTTCCGCCTTTTGTTGGCGTTCACGTTCACGCTCGCGATCTCTCTGGGGTCGGAATGCCTCACGCAAGGCTTCAACACGATTTTCATTGGGACCCCAACGGGCATGGCCGGCACTGTTTTGCAGCCACACCACCTGGGTACCCTGCATACATTTTACACTGACATCGGTTCTGTAAAAAAAAAAAAACAAAACAAAAATTTCAATTAAATTTAAATAAACCAACAAATAAGCAAATTGCCCTTACTTTGGTATAATATGCTGATAGCCATGACGATATTCATGGGCCATACCCAAAACCACCATTGAACGGCGTTTATAAATGTTCTCTTCCAATTTGGCAATGCTCTTCCATTCGGGCAAGAAAATAATAAAGCTAAAACGATAATGAAGTTAGTACATCATTTAAACAACCTAAGAAAACAAACACCCACCTTAATGGTTCCATAGACTCTGAAAGCAATTTATCCACATGCTGTAGAGCAGCATCAATTAATTCCTCACAATGTGGAGGATTAACTTGAAAGGATCCCGATACAGGCTTAAAGTCCAGAAAGGGCCTGGAATGAAATAAAAATTACTTAACCAATTTACACACAAGTTAAGCAACCCCCACTTACCCTCTTGAGCCAAAATAGGCATCGGTATCGGCAAAGGCCGAACAATATTGCCGAAAATATGAATTGAATGGTGAAGCGAAGCACTCAAAGGTCACACCGAAATGTCGATGCAAACACTCAAACACCGGTGTGGGCAATGAGGCCTGTGTCAGTTCAGCTTCCTGCGATGAATTCAGAACATTGCCCAAAAATGTCTGATACCGCTTCAGGAGACACCAAACACGTCCTATGAACAAATCGAATTTCTTGTCATCGAAACAATTGTAACGATACAATTGTTCCAATTTTTGCAAATGGGTTAGATTTATATATTGAGCATCGGGTTGATTAAGCGTTGTGGGCGTATATTTAATAATCATGTGATCTCGATCCTGGACATATTCAATTGCCGGCATACGTGGCGAGGGCACCGCAAACTGTATCGGATAACACCAGACCTTTTTCAAATGTGGTGGTGGAGGTGGTGGTGTTGGTTCGGGGATACCATGTTCTTTTAAGAGAGCCAAATGTCTTTCACGTATCTTGCGTGCATGTTCTGCGGAAAGGTGATATATTTTGGCACACAGTGCCTCCACAGATCCCTTAACCGTTTCCGTCAAATGTGGTTCACACTGCCTCCGGAGATGGGCCAGACGATCTTGAAAATCTTCATAACTGGCGCCCACTGTGCGCCGTAGCCATTGGAAGGTATCCTCCACATTCCATTTGACCACTTTTTTCGATTCGGCCGGTGCTGAACGCGATTCGATGATGTTCTTGGCCGCCTCGGCATATCTAGACAACTGCTTACGAGCATCCCCGGTAAATTTGGGTTTGACAATTTTAATGGGAATGTCGGTCATAATTTCGCGATACATAGATGGCGATATTTCGGGTATACAATTGCTCGGCAACAGAGGATCACATCCCGTATCAATGACTTTGCGTTCCATTAGCCAGCGGTTAAAGGAGTCTTTTGGGGCTTTTATGTTTTCTCTGCGCATACAGAGATCTTCATAGGTTTTCACCAATTTCATGGTATAGGCTGCGCGCAGCGCTTCTATTTCTGGATGTGGCTGGGGCAATAAAGTGGGTGGCCTTTCCACAATAACGGCATTTGTGCAAACTTCAAGATCCCATGGACCGGCCAAGACAAACTTCTTCATTGGAGGCTGCTGATGGCCATGACCACCATGCATGTGCATATCATCTGAGGGTCTTCGCTTTAAGTTATGATGTTGCTGATGATGTCCCGGGGGTAGCTGTTGTTGCATATGACCATGGGGATGTGGTGGCATTTGACCACCATGTGATATGCCCAGGGGATCGGTGAGAGGATCAAAGGGTCTTGCACCAGGCATTTCCCAAAGTGATTCCCCGGTTATTTTGTTCCAGTAGTAGGGGCGATTTTCACGTTTCGACCAAAATTTACGCCAACCTTGGACAACCAACTCGGCGGTAAGTTCTTCACCATAGCCGCCGCCGGCCGTGTACATGGGCGGTGGTCCACCTTGGGGAGTGTGGGCCATTATTTGTTCCATTGGATTGGGTCCTGATTTAATGGGTGTCGAGGGTGATGAACAGCTTGGACCAGCTGGTGAGTTGGCTCCCGTTATTAGGCTGGTCATTATATTGCTATTACCAACACCGGTAATGTTGTTGGTATTAACTCCAATTCCTGGATTAAGATTAGCCGGCGCGGCATTTGTTGTTTCGGGTTGTATTAGTGAGGTTAGTGTAGATGTGGTAGGTGTTATGTTGCTGGTACCACCAATTATACCTACTCCTGCCGTGGGAGCTGTTATGTTCGTTGAAGTTGTCATGTGGGACTGAGCTGTACTGCCAATAATTCCCCCTGCGTTGCCCAGTAATGAATGTTGAAGATTTGTTGTGGTCGCAGCAATTGTTGTATTGTGGGTTGATGCTGTCAACTGATCCCAGGCGCTTTGATTATTACTACTAATGGTATTTTGTGCTGGTGTCATATTTGGCATGTGTGTTACCATGGGGCTAACTGTGCCCGTTGAAGCAATAACACTTTGTGGCATCAAACAGCCAACACCGCCACCAATGACGCCGGGTGTCATGGAGGAGGACGACATGCCAGCAGTGGTCTGTTGGGGTGTTGCATGCAGATGCATACTATGCAGATTGTGTAGATTATTGTTAGCTGCCATATTCTCGGACACAACTACTGGCTATATGTTATCCTGGAAATAAAGAGATTGACTTATTATTTTAATGTATTAGTTCATTTACAGGCTTATATTAAAAATAATATTCTTGAAATACTTTACATTTAGTAATTATTTTTAATTAAAAATAGTTTTTTATTTCATAAATCAAAATCAAGAAATAACTGACAATTGATTAAATGCCGCCAAATTAGGTCTTGTGAGCACAGACAAGTGTCAATCCTTGACATCTGTTGCAAGTTACTCTCCCTCTCTGTCTCTGCTAGTCATTCATCTCATAATAAACAAAACTCACAAACGGTTTGTGACACCTCCAAAGGAAAACGAATCATAACAAAAATATAAAGTGTTACTAATAACAACAACAAAATGAGAAGTTTTTTTAACAACAACAAGAAAATGCGAGTAAAAACTGTTAAAATGAGGAAATAAATAAACAAACCAAAACATACATATACAACAGCAGCCAACCAACAGAACCCACATAAAACAGCAATGTTTGCCAGACAACGGCCAGTCAAAACCAGGCATTCTATCGGAGCACACGCAAAATAGTTATGGGAGAATTGATATTTAGTATTTAGGACTTTGGAAAAAAAAAAAAACAAAATATTGCAAAATCAATATGGGTATAAAAAAATTATTTTTTTTTTGTTTTGCAAAACATCTTTATTACAGAGCACATTTTTTACATTCGAGTGAGTTCATATTTAAATGTTTCTCTTGTGGTGATGACAACCGAGACCCCACCGCCGTCGAGATGTTCTTTTACTCTTTGACTTGTATTGTTGTTGGTGTTTACGTATATTGTGTTCGTGAGGCGGGATGGGGCAAATGTGGGGAGACCGACCGACCACATTCGTATTGGCGAGAATTTCATTCTCGCTCATCGTCTCTTCGTTTATATGAGTGTGGGCTGTGTTGTTTGGTTGGAAAAAAGAAGTCTATAATCATTGATACGCCAAAGTATGATTTTAGATGTCTTTTAGAATTCATTGCAAACGGTGGGGTATACTACGTTGGTTGCGTCTCGAAAATACAAAGAAATGGGTTTTGAGGGAAATGTGGATAAACAAATAATAATAAAATAAAACAAAAAATACAATTTCCTTCGATATTAAAAAAAATATAGTTTTTAATTTTATAAAAAAATTAGCAAAGAAAACACAAATTGGTTTAAATTGTTTTTAGGTATTCCTTGTTGGATAATGATTTTATTACAAATATTGAAATTATAGATATAAAACAATAAATATATAAACTCCACAAAAAATATTGTCTAGATATGATAGTCAAAGAAAAGATTTGAATTATTTTCAAAAGAGAATTAATAGTGACATAATAAATAAGTAAATTCCTATGTATCCCCCTGGGTGTAATATGTGTAGGTTCTCTTAAGGAAGGTTATTTTTTTTAACACACTTTTAAAAATAATAATAAAAAAATTAAAAACACATGTCCAATTTTTTGTCCAATTTTTTTTTATCTCAAATTCATAAGTTTGGGTAAAAAGACAATTTTTAAATATTATTTTTGCCAAAATATTTAAAGGTTTATTTCAAAATATCCAATATTTAACTATTATTTTAATACTCATAAGTTTCACATATATTAATATTTTTCAATTTTACGATAATATTTTTTAAGTTCAAAATAAAAAACAAAAATAGCAAATATAGATGAGTCAATATTCCTTATGAATATTTTACAAAACACACTCCTTTATACTTTTTATTCAACACCTGTTTGAAATAAAATCTTCAGGCACACAGGTAAATACTTGAAAATCAACAAGTAACCTTTTTCAAAAAGGCAAAATGTAAACAAGTAAATCCCAAGAATTAAGGGAGAGTTTGTTTTTTCTCATTGAAACGGGAAAAAGAGGTACACATTCGAGAGAACCAAACCATGAGCAAAAAAGAAAGGTATACAAATGTTTGTGTGGGCAGAGAGAGAGAGAGTACGTACAAAAAAAACTGTTTGAAGAAAGCAAAAATGAGGAGAACATACGAAACAAGAAATGAATGCGAAAAATAGAATAAACACGAAGAACATATGAACAAAAACAATGTAATATGTTTTGACGAAACAGTACTAAGGGGAAATTGACAAAACAAGAAATAAAAATATTAAAAAACCAAAATTAATATTAGAGCACATTTAAAGAGAAAAACATAACATAACAAAACGAAGACCATACAATGAGAAACAAAAAAAAAACACATTAACATAAAGCCCGCCAACATTAGGGGCCCCAGCCCCCACCACAGACAAGTTGAGACAACCTGATGTGGCTACGTCACACAATTGCGCGCTTTTTTTACACCACAATGAATTGTAGTTGGCCCACCAATAAAATACCAAAAACCCATACATTTGCCCAATAAATAATAAGTTTTTCTATTTTCTTTACAATATTTCAATAATATTCAATGGCTTTGTAAGAATAAAAACCCGCCACTATATTTTATATCGGAAATTTCTCTACACTTTCTTTTTTGCTGTGTCTCGGCGGATACACACTGGGATTGGCTAAGACTTGCAAGAAATAAACACTGGGAATTTCTTCACTTGGATATAGATTTTTTCCTTCATGAAAATTTGTATATTTGCATAAATTCATGCCTTTCGTCATACACATAATTTGTGGAAAAACATATTGTATTCAATTTCCAAACTTTTTCAAGCCAGCGCATTTTTCCTCGTTCGTTTTTTTCGGTACATATTTTTTCTTGGTGGCTTTACACAACTCACCGTGTTTTATGCGTTCGATTTCGTTTGTTTTCAATTCAATATATTATTTATTTACGCGCAACACTTGTTAACAAAAACATTTATCGAAGGCATCTAGAGTGCTGTTGTTGATAAACAAACAACAACAGGACAAAAATTTACGTGAATTTCTTGTTGAAAAAGAAAAATTTCACAGAATAATTTCCTTGCATCCGTCTTTGCCGAAGTGATAATACGAAGTAGTACGAAGTCGTCCGACATGACAATCCTGCTCAGGCGTGCTATAGAATGAAACGGCGTTGCGTAAATGACGCCGTCAGAATGACAGCAATGTAAAAGGGGGTTCGTTGCATGAAATATGTGGGAAATGTTTGATAGCATTGTGCATACATGTAATGGTGTGAAAATTAGTAAAAAATCATATAAATTTCTTTATGAAAATACTAGTTATACAAAATAGGAAATCAACTTAGAATGAGTAATAGTAATTAATAGTTCAATGTGAATTGAATAGTTCTTTATTCTGGAAATTGTAAAAGTTTCGAAAATGGTAAATTTTATTAATACTTTGTATAAAGGGATCACGTATCGAAAAGTTATGATGAAGAAAGAGGCATGGCAAAATGGTCGACAATGGCGTATTGTTTGGGGTTTTTTGAAATTAATCCATATTTTTAATACACTTTTTCAATTAATATCATACCTATTTACGCAAGACGAGTGGCATAATTCTTGATGAAACTACAAAATAGTTCTTCAGACGTTGTCGCTTTGATTAAATCATGGTAGAAGAATTCAGGCAGATGCACCAAAGTTTGGGAACAGTGACATGCCAAAAATTTTAAAATTTTTTTTTCAAAAATAAGTAGATTTTTGTAGGTGTTCTTATACGACACCAATAGTAGGTTATTATGATATGTATTTTTCAACAATTTTTACAAATTTGAACAACTTTTTATTCAATATTTTCAATTTTTAAATTTTTTGACAGTTCAGCAGCTGTGTCGATTCAACTACCTGGGTTCTTGATCGAATGGAACAGTTATTTTTCGTTTTTTAATATTTTATCACCAGGGGTAAACACTTTTGTTGTTATGATATCGTAACAACATCGTTACCAATGGTATTTTTTTTTTTTTAACAGAAAATGCAATTTTCAATTAACGGGAAACGTCAATGGAGTACAGTTTTGAGGTCAAATTTTTGGTATAGAGAAAATGCTATTGTTATGTTAAAAACTGCTCTGTAATTATATTTTTATGCTACCATGTGTCTTCTGTGATCAGCGCCTCTACATGTTTTTCACATTAACTATTTTTCCACAATGTATTTTGTCCAGTCTTTACCATTTTACGTCTTTGAAAATTGTGTGTGCAGAGCTCTGTACAACGATTTCTTTCCATCTCTAGAGCTCTGTAGAACAACGTTTTTCGATCTTTAAGAACCCTGTAAAACGATTGTTTTCTATCTTTCAGAACCCTGTGCAACAAATGTTTTCGATCTTTAAAGCCCTGCAAAAGGATTTTTTCAATCTTCAGAGCCCTGAGCAGTCGCTGTTTTTGTTGTTGTTCGTGTAGTAAATTAAAAAAATAATTAAACAAATAGGAATAAAACGCTTTAAAGGCTACTGGAGAAGAAAACAATATGGAAAACAAGGGGGTTAGTGGACAACAACCTAGCCTGAGTCAATATTTTGCCAATGATCCACCAAGCTTCTTCGATGAACTGGCCAGCAGCAAGCCTCAACAAATGGAGACAGGTATGGGGGTGATCTTGTGACTCCTGGAGCTCGCTTCATGTAACGACGTATATGATTTCTTTTATAGTAGGTGGTGACACTATGACCTTGCCAGCTAATCCTCAAGCAACACAGCAGACCCTAAACACAAATCAAGTACCTTTAATGGGCACAACTCCAGGTGGCAATACAGTTTCCAGCAACGTTCAACCTGCTGCTGCCTCTACTGGCGTTAATTTAACTTCGAATACCTTTACGGGTGGTTTTAAAACACCCGAATACATAGAGAATCAGGCTGAATTGGAGGAGGATATGAAGATTGCAGATGACGTAAGGAATTTCTGGGAGACACCTGTGACGCCAAATGGCCACCCACCTCTGCTGACCACACCTGGCATACAGACTGCCACAGATTTGGTAAGTGGAGAACGGGGTTTATGTTCCTTTTATAAATGGGTATCATTTTGCCTTCTAGCCCGACTTGATTGCCAATGCTGTATCCAAGCATTTGGGTGATGCTGAATTGGGTCATCGCAAAATTCCCGGGGTCGATAATGTGACACAAGATGAACGGGGTTTGAGATCTCTCATTGCCTCTGGCTGTTATAGATCTGCCATTAATTTAACCGGACGTTTGCTGACAATATATGGTCAAGGTTATGGACGTGCCGGTCAGCCGGCCAAACATTCCCCACATTCCCTGCAATTGTGGTTTACACGTCTGGCCCTGCTGGCCAAGTTGGGGGAATACGAATTGCTGCAAAAGGAGGCGGAACCTTTTGATAAATTGAATAAACCCGATGTTTTCTATGAGGTATGTTGGATTTTTTTAAAGATTTTCATTATCCAATGTAAAAATGATTCTCCTTTCTTAGTTCTATCCTGAAATGTATCCTGGCAAGACTGGTTCCATAGCCTGCTTTTCATTTCGTTTATTATTGGCTGAAATGCCCATCTATTTGGGTAATCCTCAATTGGCCTTGGATCGTTTATCCGAGCTGTATGTAATAACAAATGAAATTAAGCTGTACTTTGCTGGCAAGAATATGAAAGAAGCCCAAGACTTTTGGAAGAAGAGGGAGTTTAAAATCCTGCATGCCATCGTAAATTGTGCAATAATTGTAAGTTTCCAGCACGGACAGAGGCTTGTGTGTTTTTCTAAAATTATTTTTTTTTTGTAGTTGAAAAAATATAACCTCATTGATGATATATTGCGCAGCATGATCGCCGATGGTGGTGATTTAGATAAGGAGGAAAGACGTGCTTTGTTTTCGGCCTGGGGTCGTATATATTTACAAATTGGTGATGTTTTTGGGGCAGAGCAAAAGTTTGCTGAAGCTCGAAGGCTGAGAAAAATGTGAGTCCTGAAAACTTTCAGAAGAAAGTAGGCCTTAATATATGTTCTTTGGATGACGTATTTTGTAAAAAAAACTCGTATACTTAGGGGACCTCATTAAAGGTTTTTAAACTTAGACCACTAAATTAATGATCCTGTGAAGATCCTTAAAGGATCCTCTTAAGATCCTTGAAGGATCCTCCAAAGATCTTTGATGGATCAAAGGACCAAATAAATGTAACAAAGGGCTTCAATAGGTCTTTTTAGACCTAATGAAGGCGTATAATATAGTTCCTCATTCCTATATTAATTATTTTCTACCATCCCTATCCTTTTCAGTTACTCCCAGCCGGATATACGTGACTTGGTGGACAAGGGTCTTATAACGGTGGCACAAAACGATTTCCCCGAGGCCTATGCCACATTTCAAAAGGCATTGCATTTAGAATCGGGCAATACTATGATCCTCAATAACATGGGTGTGTGTCTACTCTATGCGGGAAAACTGAAAGAGGCCATAACCCTTTTTGAACGAGCCATCAACTTGAATCCACAAAAATCCCTAAATGAAAGTTTGCTGGTTAATCTTTCAACCCTCTACGAATTGGAATCGAATAATTCCAAAAATAAAAAATTAAATCTATTACGTTTGATTAACCGTTACAAACCCGATTTGAATATTAGTTTAGAGATCTGTTTAAAACTGCAAACTCCCAACTAGTCAAGGGTAGACCTGTTTTGTATTTTTTAAGAAATTTTTAAAATTTGTATTCCAACAAAAGACAATTTTAGTTAAAGGAAAGTATTTTTTTTTTTTGCAAATAGTTTTTTATCCATCCATCCGTTGTGTTTAAATACCCTGTAGTTGTATTATGATGTTATTCTAAGTATTTATGTTTGGAAAATTTTTTGTATTTATTTTGAAAGAAAAAAATGAAATATTCATTTTACAAAAGAAAATAAATATTTAATAAAACAAATTGCAATTTTTTGAAATTGGTTGCAGTTTTTTCATCTCACCCTATAATAATGATTGCAATAATAATTCGTCTAATACAAGAAAACACCAGTTTTTTTTATTACATTAATTGTTTTTTTATTTTTTTTATTCCTTAAAATAACATAATATCCTTACAGCACTATTTTGTTATATTGCATTATTTCAGATTTAAACATACATTTTAAGTAATAAACTAAATAATATTGCTATATTTTATATTTAACTTAAATGCTATTGTATTTTCGGAATTTACAGAACATAAGTAGATTGAACATTTTTTCGAACTAGTCATTATATGACCTGCATTTCTATTCATTTTTCGGGAGAAAATATATTTACAACAATTTTTGATTTTTTTAAATTTAATTATTTTTTTTTACATTTTCGTTCATAAAAAATTCAACTTCGATTGAATTTGGTAAACGCTTTCACGGGTAATTATTTGATTAGTAAAGCTCTCTAACTCTCCCTCTCTCTCTCTTATTTTAATAATATACAAAAAGTGTTGTCAATGTAGCGATTTTCTGTTTTTTTGATTTATTCAAAAACAAAAGTTCGCATTTATTTTAATTTTTTTTCAACATTTAATATTTATGATATCGAATGCGAGCATTTGACCTGTGTATTTTTTATCTTTGGTTGAAATATGAAAATATAATAACTAAGGAATCTCTTACTTGCGAATTTATTTTTACATTGAAATCAAACACTAATTTTGTACAATTTGGGTTTAAATTAAAAAAATATCCTTCACTTTAAAGCATATTTTCGTTTAAATTTTTGGAAATTAATTTTTGCCAGCAGACGGCCAAGCAGGTCTTCTTCACATAGAGTACTGGATTCCTATTCGCACATATATACAACGCATTTTGTAGCTGGACGACTGTCTGTGGATTTTCTATGTATAGAAGATCCAAAGAGTGTCTCTTCTACCAACTTTTTAACTTTTTTTTCATTTTTTTACGCTATTAGGAAATTTTTCTTAGACAGGCTGAGTGGGAATTTAAGGACTCACACTTGGTTTTTTGAAAAATATTTTTTGAGGACCCACAACAAGGTTTGATTTTTTGAAAATATTTTTTTATATAACCATAACAAACGATGATTTTTTGAAAAAAATATTTTTTCTTCAATATAGCGAAGATTTTTTAAAATTATTTTTAAGCAACCCTTAACAGGCGTGGATTTTTTAAAATATTTTTTAAAGATTGGCAACAAGTAAGAATTTGTTAAAAAATTATTTTTTTAAGAATCTACAAAAAGCGTGGATTCTTTAAAAATATTTTTTAAAGATCCAATACAAGCAAGAATTTTTTTAAAAATATTTTTTCAAAGACCCACAACAAATGTGGATTTTTTTTAAATATTTTTCAAGCGTTGATTTTTAGAAAAATATCCTTCAAGCGTTGATTTTTTAATTTTTTTTTAAGTGTGGATTTTTAAAAGATTTTTTTATTTTGTATTTTTAATAAAAATTATTTTTCAAGAGTGGATTTTTCAAAAAATATTTTTCAAGCGTGGATTTTTAAAAAATATTTTTTTTTTAAATATTTTTCTAGGACCAACAACGTGGATTTAAAAAAAATATTTTTCAAGCGTGAATTTTTAAAAAAATATTTTTCTAGGACCAACAACGTGGATTTAAAAAAATATTTTTCAAGCGTGAATTTTTAAAAAAATATTTTTTAAGAGTGGATTTTTAAAAATATTTTTCTTTAAATAGAATTGTAAAAATTGTAAAAATATTTTTTCAAGGACCAACAACGTTGATTTAAAAAAAAAAATATTTTTCAAGCGTTGATTTTTTAAAAAATATTTTTCAACAGTGGATTTTTTAAAAATTATTTTTCAAGCGTTGATTTTTTAAAAAATATTTTTCAACTGTGGATTTTTAAGATTTTTTTTAAGAATGCTTAAAAAGCAAGAATTCCTTAAGAACATTTTTTAAGGATCCACAACGAGCGTAAAGACCCACAGAAAGCGTGGATTTTTAAAAATATTCTTTTAGCGATTCATCTGTTGTGGAATTTAAAAAAAAAATATTATTAAACCTGAATTTTTTTAAAAATACTTTTTAAAGGACTAAAACTTGCGTCAATTTTTTAAAAACATTTTTTTGGAACTATATTTTGAAAAATATTTTTAGATTTTCTAAAAATAATTTTTCAAGGACTCACAACTAGCGAGGACTTTAAATTTAAAAAATATATATATTTTCAAGCTTGGATTTTTTTAAAACATTATTTTTAATACTTTTCAGCGTGGACCCACAAAAATCGAACAGTTTTTTAAAAAATATTTTGCAAGCGCATATTTTTGTAAAATATTTTTTCAAGGACCAACTCTTCAAGCATATGTTTTTAATATTTAAAAAAATATTTTTTCAAACTTGAATTTTTTAAAAAATAAAATGTCCATATTTGTTAAAGTATTTTTCCAGCGTGGATTCTTTAAAAATATAATTTTCAATATTTGTTAATGTATTTTTCCAGTGTGGATTCTTTAAAAATATAATTTTTAATATTATTTTTTATATTTTTAAAAATATTTTTCAAGCGTTGGTTACAAAAAATATTATTTTTAAAAATACAATTTTAAGTTTGGTTAAAAAACATATTTAAAGCATTGGCTAAAAATATAATATTTAAAAAAAAATGTTCAAGCGTTGGTTAAAAAATAATATTTAAAACAAATCTATTTCCAACGCTGGTTAAAAAAATAATATGTAAAAAATCCATTCGCATTGGTTAAATTTTTTTAAAATCTATTTCAAACGTGATTTTTTTTAAATATTATTTTTAATATTATTTTAAATATTTAAAAAAAAAATTTCAAGCGTTCATTTTAAAAATAATATTTTAAAAAAAATCAAGGGTTGGTTAAAAAAATAATATTTTTGAAAAAATCTATTTCAAGCATAGGTTAAAAACACGTTTCCAGCGTGAATTAAAAAAAAACATTTGTAAAGTGTGGGCTTTCAAATTTTTTAAATAATTTTTAAAAAATATTTTTCAAGTGCATTATCCAATTTTTAGTTTGTAAAAAAATCGAGCGTAATTTAAAAAATATTTTTTTAATATTTAAAAGAATATTTTTCAAGCATGGGTTAAAAGTAAACAATTTTCAAGAGTGAATTTTCTAAAAAAATTCAAGCGAGGGTTTAAAAAATTAATTTTTAAGATTTTTTTAAAGGACCCACAACAGCTACCTTAATCGTGCCGTAACTCCATATAAACATGCTGGAGGTCCTAGGATTCTGGCGAGATTTTTCCTTTTAATTTTGTTCACAAAAATTAAATTTTATAAATGACAAATTTTGGTCATCAAATGTTAAGGAGGTATTCTCAAAACCGCGCCGATTTTTTCCTAATACTTCGATTTGTACTTTACGAACGAGACAATGGAATCCAGTGTCTGTCTCTCTCACTCTCTCTTCTGCATCCTAGTGACCTTGCTTTGAGTTCTTATTTCAATTTTGTTCCAATTTTTCAAACTTTAAACCTCGCAAAATTTCTTCTCCTCATCATTTTTTTGAGCTAATACTTCGTTTCATATCCAAATACCTAATGTTATTGTCCATTGAAAATGGTCTCGGGATAATAGCTGGGCGCATTGAACATGCGTGGAAAACCGTTCGGATCCAATTGATGATTGACAGGCAGCACAGACATGATGTCACTGGAAAAGAAAAGAGAGAGGGAGAGAAAAAAAATACAATTTTGTTAAAAAAAAAGAGAAATCTGATAAAAATAAAATTTAGGAAAATGAAATAAAAAAAAACATGTGTTAAATGTTATCAACACCCCGACACAAGACACTTGTCATCATTTGGCATACTTAACGCCCGGCCGGCCTCCTGTTGTGGGCCACATGCCCCGTCAGCGCAAAAGAACTAGGACAATGTGTTGGCCATACGAAACGATGTTCGACCACAAGGGACCAAAAGGGCGTCCTTTGGTCTAATTTTATGTGTTTTTGTTGTTATTTTTTTTATAATAAAACATACAAACACATGCCCATACACACACACACACAACCTTGGTAATTGTTCAAGGAACAACAAAAAAATGCTCTCATAAAAGCCATTCAAGTGTGGTTAGCTTGTGCGCCTGCGCCCTTTGATTTTCAAAGAAAACGAACGAACGAACGAATGAATTTCTTTTTTCTTTTCGAATTGGTGTGTGGTGGGCATTCTGTCTGTCCTTCGCAACCCTCGGCTGTTATGTTTATATGCAAGTACGTGACTTTTTAATGGTCACTTTTTTATGATATTTTTAGGGCAATTTGAACTGAAATTTTTAATTGTTTTCACAACTCCCAGGCATGTGTTGGAGTGAATGAATGGAAGACCATGCAGGAAGGGAGGGGGGAAATTTCCAATTTGCCTATAAATGTTAGTGTCCAGATTGATTTTTTTTTCATTTCTCGTAAATTTGAAGAGTTTCAGTTTTAAGTGTGAAATTTATGGGCAATTTTCAATATTCTTTGGAATTGTGGCAGACTTCGTGGGGAGTTGTTGGATTCTTTTTTTTTTTTGAAAAATGCGTATTTATTTTGTTTTTTTTTTTTTTTGAATTATGAAATTTGAGTAGTGAATGAAGTAAAATGCAATTTTAGTTCAATAATTACAAAGAAAATTACAATTATGAAGATTATTTAAGGAAATTATGAGATTTGAAATGAAATATTGGGAGCAGGGGTTCTTGGAAATGCAATGGAAGGAAGTCTGGATAAAATTGAAGCAAGGGAGGCCAGGGAGTCTTAAAAATACGAGATGAAAATGCAAGTGTTGGTGGAGAGAGAGAGAGAGGAAGGGAGAGAGGTAGAGAGAGACTGAGTCTGATGGGCAACGGAGTCCTCCAAGGACAATATGCTGCGTCAAAGAGCAATGAGCAGATGAGCTGGTGGACAAAGGGATGTTTCATGGGGAGCTTGAGAGCACAGGGGTTTTCATGGTCGAGCTTGAGCCCGAAGAAGTACTTCGTAGTACTTCATGGAGGGATAGGGAGAAGTTTATAGACCAGCTGCGGGCCAGGCAGTCTTTCATAGACCAGCTGGGGGCCTGACAGTCCTTGAAATACGAGCTGGAGAGAGCCAGAGAGTCTTTCATAGACGAGGTGGAGATAGAACAAGGGAGTTTTTCATAGATGAGCTGGAGGTCCAGGGAGTCTTTCATAGACGAGCTGGAGGTCCAGGGAGTCTTTCATAGACGAGCTGGAGGTCCAGGGAGTCTTTCATAGACGAGCTGGAGGTCCAGGGAGTCTTTCATAGACGAGCTGGAGGGGCAGGGAGTCTTTCATAGACGAGCTGGAGGGGCAGGGAGTCTATCATAGACGAGCTGTAGAGAGGAGCACGAAGTCTTTCATAGGCGAGTTGGAGACAACCAGGAAACTGGAGGGCCAGGATTTTTTTCATAGACTTACTGGATGCCCCGAGAGTCTTTCATAGAGCCAGGGAGTCTACCATAGGTGAGTTGGAGAGAACAAGGGAGCTGGAGGGCCAGGAAGTTTTTCATAGACTAACTGGATTCCCCGAGAGTCCTTCATAGACGAGATGCAGAGAGCCACAAAGTCTTTCATAGACGAGTTGGAGAGAATAAGGAAGCTAGAGAGCCGAGTTGTGATGATGAGATGAGTTGGGGATGAGAGAGGAAGACTTTCATAGACGAGCTGGAGAGAGGAAGGTAGATTTTCATAGAAGAGTTGGAAAGAACAAGGGAGCTGGAGGCCCAGGAAGATTTTCATAGAATAGCTGGATGCTCCAAGAGTACTTCAAAGACGAGCTGGAGACCTTCATAGACGAACTGGAAAAAATCAGGAAGTCTTTTATAGAAGAGTTGCAGAGGACAAGGGAGCTGGAGAGAGCTAGAGAGTCTTTCAAAGACTAACCAGATGTCCCGAGAGTCCTTCATATACCAGCTGGAGAGAGCCAGAGAGTCTTTCATAGAAGAGTTGGGGAGAGCCAGGAACTTTATCATAAACGAGTTGAAGAGAGCCAGGTAGTCTTTGATAGAGTGAGTCTATCATAGTTCCAAAAAAATTTTTGTGCTGGAGGGCTGTAGAGGCTTTCATAATTTCGAAAGTATTTTAAAATAATTAAAAAAGTTCAAATAATTTCAAAAATCCTCGATTATTAAAAAAAATATTTCTCAACAATACTTATAAACTTCTAAAGACCTTAAATACGTCTTCTCTAGATGGAGGACCTCCCAAATTCAACTACTTCCCCATTTTATAAAAAAAAACAAAAATCACAACACTTCTACTTACGATCTCTGTTGCGGCGTTCGATCCCTTTGTCGTCGATTCTTAAACCAATTCGAGACCTGTGTCAATGTCAGCCCTGTCTTCTGGGCTAGCGTTTTCTTCTCATCCGGCGTTGGATAACGATTTGTCAAATAACAATCTTTCAGTGCATTGCGAGACTTTTCCTTAAAACAATAGACCGTCTCTTCACCATCCCATATCGTTTTGGGTAGAGGATATTTTTTGCGCAACCGATATTTATCCACAGCACCCAGAGGACGACCGCGTACCTTTTCCGCTTCCTTGTAGTGGGCTTTAAACCAAAGATTTTGCAAATCAGCATGATATTTAATGGAGAAACAATGTGATTCGAGCAAATTGTAGACCTCATGGAATTGGCCACGATGATATGCAACGATGGCACGTGCTCGCAGGACACTTTCGTTGTTCTTGAACAGTTCCGAGGCGGGTAGATTGCACAGAAAGGTGGTTAGTTTTTCAATGTCACCTTTTTGCTGGAGGGCTTCACACATGCATTGGATCTGTAGGGAGGAGGAGGAGAGAGAGGGGAAAAATTATATAATTAATGATTTTTAAATAATTTAAATTGTTAATTATTATTTTTTATGGGAAACTAATTAAAACCCGCAGGGATAACATTTTGTCCTTTTAAGATGATTGATTATTTTAAGTCTAATATCTAACATTAATTCAATAAATTCCTACATTATTTTTATTTTTATTATTATTATTATTTTTATTATTATTATCATTATTATTATTATTATTATTATTATTATTATTATTATTATTATTATTATTATTATTATTATTATTATTATTATTATTATTATTATTATTATTTTATTATTTTCATCATTTATTACAATAATCAATCAAATCTCTTCATTTTCCCTAAAAATGTATTGTTTCCCCTTTTATTGGCAAGAAGAGCAAGTCATTACTCGGAGATAGTCCCCATTTGGTGGAAATAGACACTAACGGCTTAACTGCCTTGCTCTTTCTCTCTTAATTTTGTTGGGGATTGGATTGGGCAAAAACTTGTTATAAAATAACAGAGGGGATCATTCTCAGTGAAAATAAACATAACGGTGAGCGTGATTTGCAATCGAGAGAGAGAGAGATGCTAATATAGGAAGAAAATAATAAAGAGGCGGAAATAGATAGACAATTTAACTGTTATATTTATATTGGACTGATATGCCAAAAATCAACGTGACCGTTGTATGTATTTGAGGAAAAGAGATCTTAACTCAGAGACGGAAGTGAAGAGAACCAGATTTAAAGAGAAATTTAAAGTAAAGCTGTAATAAGGGATTTCACGTTTAATTGATCTTTTTAAGTTAAAAAAATTTAAAAAAATAAAATAAATAAAAAAAAAATAAAAATAAATTAAAAAATAAAATAAATTAAGAAAGAAATAAAAAATAAGTTAACAAAATTAAAAATAATCAATAAAAAATTAAAATAATAAATCAAATAATTGAAAATAATGAACTAAAAAATAAGAATAAACTAAAAAAATTACTGAAAATTAACAAAAAATAATAAATGAAAAAAAAAAAACAAGTAAATGAAAAAAAATATTTACTAATTAAAAAAAAAATAAAATAATAATTGCATGACATAATTAACTAAATTAAATAATGCGAACAAATCTAACAATTGGGGAGTTTTATTAAAAGAATAATTTTAATTTTTGTTAAAATATTAAAAAAGTATAGCGTAAAGCTACGAAAATAAAATTCTAAAAATTTAAGATTAAATTTTGAATTATAAATTTATTTTAAAAATATTCCTCTTTAAGAATTTTCAATTTTTTGGTTAAATATTTTTTAAAATTCTTTGATTTTATTTAGAAATATTTAAAAAAAACATGGATTTTTTTGGAAAATATTATTTTTAGAATATTACACAAAATATTTTTTTTAATTATGATGAAAATTAGTATCTCACCTGATCTGTAGTAAATTGTAAAAATTTCCGATCCATTTGTATATTTCCAACACTGTTGTGAGACCCCGTGATATTTGAAAGTAGACCTCCGGAACCATTTAGACCACGATTTAACGAAGTCAAGGGATCCGATTGCTGTTGTTGTTGCTGCTGTTGGTGTTGTAAATTCCCACTATTGCCGGTTGTTGTATTGAGATTCATTTGATGATGACTGCCCGTCAAACTTAAGGCCTTTGTATTGCCATTGAGATCACTTTGGGTTGGCGCTGGAGGTGGTGGTATAACCCCTGTCGAACCTATTGCATTTTCAAAAATCATATTATTTATTGCCGAATTTGGATATACCGGCGATGTGGTGGCTGTGGGCGGTGGAGATTTATCGTAATCACTGGTTATATCATGAAATCGACGATCCAGCTCTTTATCATTGGCATAGGGAGAGAATTTATCCAAGTGCAGTACCGTTTTACAGGATATGTTGCCGCGATAACCTGGGGAAAGAAAATTGCAAATTATTAATGATAAAATAAAGAAAAATTAGGAAGTATAAATAAAATAATTATCCGTGGCGTTTACTTCATGACGTTTGGAGAGAGGAGACTAGACTATTGTTGTTCTCTGGTTGTATGTTTCGTATGCTTCACATTTTTTTATGTTTTTCCTTGTGTTGCATTCATTGGTGCATTTTGGTAATAGTACTCCTTAGAAATGTGCTGACTTGTTAGCGTCACTATGACGCTTTCGATTTTTTTTGTTTTGCATTTTGGTCACACGATAGGAATTTGATGACAACGAAAATGGAGTTTTATTTTTTTTTATTTTAAGGATGACAAGGTTTGAATTTTTTTGGGGAAGAATTTTGAAGAGTAGTTGTACCAAAGGGTGTGCGGCGGTATTTATCAGCTTCAGACCAGATCTTGGATTGAAAGAAATATTGGAAAGGAATCGGATGCTTATTTCACGTTTTATGATATTTTGAATAACCAAAATATTTTACCCGTTGTGGGGGAGGTACCAGAAGAAGTGGGTCTATATCTACAATTTTTACACCAGATTTTGTCTTGGTAGAATTATTAAGATATGCGAAGTTTGAAGAGAATCGGATGCTTATTTTGTCTTTAATAAGATTTATAATTTTTTCAAAATTTTGTCCCGTTGTGGGGGAGGTACCAGAAGGTTTGGCCCGATATATTCCATATTTACAGCAGATCTTGGGCTAGTAAAAATATTGGAATGTGTTGAGTTTGAAAAGAATTGAATGCTTACTTTGCGATTTTTGAGCTTCTTGGATATTCAAAATTTTTTACCCGTTGTGGGGGAGGTACCAGAAGGAGTGTTCTATTATGTTCCATATTCACACCAGATCTTGTGTTGATAGAAATATTGGAATATGCCGAGTTTGAAAGGAATCGGATCATAATTTCGCATTTTTTGAGCTTCTTGGTTATTCAAAATATTTGACCTATTGTGGGGGAGGTACCAGAAGGAGTGGGCCTATAGCTCCCATTTTTACACCAGATCTTGTGTTAGTAGAAATATTGATATGTGCAAAGTTTGAAGAAAATCGGATGCTTATTTCGCCTTTAATAAGAGTTATAATTTTTTCAACATTTTTAACCGTTGTAGGTGAGGTATCAGAAGGTGTGGTCCGACACATTCCAGCTTTATACCAGATCTTGTGTTGATAAAAATATTAGAGTGTGTTGAGTTTGAAATAAATTGGATGCTTCTTTCGCATTTAATGAGACTTATATTTTTTTCAAAATTTTGTCCCGTTGGGGGGAACCTACCAGAAGCAGTGGTCCGATATCTACCATATTCATACCAGATCTTGTGTTAGTAGAAATATTGATATGTGCAAAGTTTGAAAATAATCGGATGCTTATTTCACTTTTGATGAGAGTTATAATTTTTCAAAAAAATTGACCTATTTGTGGGGGGGGTTACCAGAAGGAGTGGGCCGATATCTATCATCTTCACACCAGATCTTGCGTTGACTGAAATATTGAGATGTGTGAAGTTTGAAGAGAATCGGATGCTTATTACGCCTTTGAAGAGAGTTATATTTTTTTCAAAATTTTGTCCCGTTGTGGGACAGGTACTGGAAGAAGTTGTCCGATATGTTTCATCTTCACACCAGATCTTGTGTTAATAAAAATATTGAGATGTGTGAAGTTTGAAGAAAATCGAATGTTTGTTTCGCATTTTATAAGAGTTATAATTTTTCAAAATTTTGACCCTTTGTGGGGAGGTACTCGATTGAGTGGGACGATATTGTTCATTTTTACACCTAACCTAGCACTGATAAAAATATTGGAATTTGCAAAGTTTACCCAAATTCGGATGATTCTTTCATGTTTTATGAGGTGAATTATTTTCTGAGAAAATTTTGACCTTTCTTTGAGGGAGGTACCAGAGGGAGTGGACCGATATTGCCCATCTCTGAACTCGGTGAAAGTTTGATGATAAAATGTCGATGTACCAAGTTTGGACCAAATCGGTTACTCTCTTCGAGAGTTATTGCGCTCATCAGGCAGCCACAGAGACGGACGGACGGACAACCTTGGATCGTCTATAAATATCCTGAAATTCAAAGAAATCTAGGGTCCAAAACCGTTTTTTATGAGCCACATTTTAGCTGTATTAAACTTTGTATACCCTAAAAAAAAAAAATTTACAAAATGTAATCTAACATGGGTCCTGCAAAAATATTCCAAAAAAATCTTTAAAATCCGAAATCTTCATTCCGAAAGATCTTATTTAAGATATTTTCGCTCTATATTAAAAAAATATACTTTGATCATAAGATCATAAAAATAATGTATCTCCTAAACATTCCATGATTTTAGCTCCCGATTAACGGAACATTAAAAATCTCTTTGCTTCTATTGTTACTTACCCGAATTCGGCAGAAATAGGGCACCATATGAAATGGGCGAATGCATATTATCCTGATTAATTGGTGAATTTTCCGATGAGGCACCGCCGGAACTTGTTGAGTCTAAATCACCACCATTCAAGGATGACGATAAAGGATTATCCATACTTTTCACAAACATTAAGGGCTCTTTTTAAATTTTTTAAGGGTTTATTTAATTATTTTTTTAATATTTTTCACTCCATAAATTCCATTTGTTTTGCGAATGTTTGATTTTTTTTTAAATAATGAATATTATATATATTGTTTAAATATATATTTTTTTAAAACTCCTGTTTTTTCTTTAAATATTTTATTCCACTATTTTATTTTTTAATATTTGGTTATTTTAATATCCACTCTTTGTTTCTCTTAATAACACCTTTTATTTTGGAGGGGTTTTCTTTTCTAATACAAAATATGACACCTTATTACAGTTTAAAAAAACACTCGAAGAGATATCAAAACATGCAACGGGAGAACCTTACGCCTGCGAAGTTCTAATTGAACTGTTTGTGGCATAGAATTCTTGCACAAATGTACCCACACAACCACGACCATGGGCATGGAGTAGGAAATGAAAGAGAGAGCAAGAGCATGGCATTGCTCACACAACAACAGCAAACAGACAACAGATAGGCCTTTCCGTTGCACACTTTCACACACTCAGGCATGCACACACACACATTACTACTCAGAGTCAATGAATAACGGACGAATCACATTTCTCATTGAATGGCATGCAATGCTTTGTTGTTGTTTTTGTTTTTTTTTTCTTTCGTAGAGGGAGAAACAAAAAGGCAATGAAACACTCTCACATTGCATTGTGTGTTTTTAGGGGTTGTGTTTCATTTCAAATATCCTGTTTCCGTGCCAAACAAACAAAAAAGGAGGAGGGCGTTACCTTTTCATTGGTGAGTGCGTGAGCAGAGATACGCCATTTTTTCTTTACTCTTTCCAATGAAGAAGGAAAATCGACAATGGAACAGGTTTGTTTTGGACAAAGGCCTTTTTGAAGCAGCAGCCTCTGTCACACACATTGTTCAATGTTACATCACAGATCAAGAGTTCTCATATGTCCTGGGATATTATTGTGTTGTTGTTGTATTTGCATTGTTTAAATTCCGGTTTAAATTTTCATTTGGCAATACTGTGCAAAATTTTCCAGGGAATCGAAAAAATTTGATACTGCTAATCCACTACTTTTTGTGTTGTATTGAGGAAATAGGAAAACATTTTGCAGATGACTTCCATGTAGCCACTCCAATTACTTACTTGCCGTAACCTTGACCTGAATATATGTTCACCCACAAAATATTAGCTAATATTTCAAGGATATTTTCGTTGTTTTATATTTAAACTAGCTGGCCCGGTCCGCGTTGCCGGCCCGTAGTTTTAGTCTTTAATGCAAATTTTGCATAGCATAATATTTCACAAATCTAGCTCATAAAGATGAACAAATTTTAATATAAATATTGATTCGACTAAATAGAAATAAATAACTATGGAAGGAGGGCAAAATAATTTATAAATAGTCAAAGTTAATTACGCTTTTACACCCATTACCATAGCACCTCAAATTGCGCATTAGAGTCCCCAAAAAGTCTATGTTCTTGTTCATGGTAAAATTCAATAACGATTAAACAATACCCGCGTTGTTATCCGCCAATCGGTAAACATCACTATAGATCGGCGGGCCTGGGGACTATATGGTGACTGTACCAAAATATTTACGTATGTTTCTGTAAGATGGTTCTCTACTCACAAAGTAGCCTAAATACAGCAAATAATGGCCAAATCAGTTGAAAAACGTGGCCAAGACCACGGTCACAGCTGTCAGGTCAGGGATACATTTATATAAGGGTTATACCAAAACGTGGCCCAACCAATATTCTCTTGGGGGTTTCAAATTCAATAGAAAACAACATTTTTTTTCTGACCACCAATTAGATGTGAAAGTGGACTTGGGAATACGCCAATGTGGGGACTTTACTTAAATAAATTCCTATGTGGCAATTATCCGTATGATGGTTCCCTACCCCAGAGTAGCATAAATACAACCTTTAGCCAAGTCAATTAATGAATGTGGTCAAGACCAAAATGGGCCCTACTCTGAAAATTTCAAACTTTATGCGAAGAGGTTCTCTACCTCCTTAGAAACAAAAATGCCAAATAATGGCTAAAATATTAAAAAAGTGACCAAGACACCAAAAATAGCTTAAATCATACGATGGTTATATAAATATGAAATCGGGTTGTCCCATATCCGTGAGTTATGATCGATATCATGACCTATCTTGAATATTTGGGAAGAATTTCTGGAAGGATAGAAATCTTTATCTTACTAAAAGTCCCATACGCTCTACTATTTTCCACCCTTTATATTTGGTATTTTTCTGATTGTACATTGGACGGATTATTGTGACAGGAAAGAAGTAGTTCCACGCTTTGAAATGATCCCCATTAGGCTTTTTCGGCAATTTTTGTTTGTTCAAATGTGTTCGCATCTTCCAGCTGAACCACGATGTCGGCCCTGGAGTTGAAAGGTAGATGTCAGTTGACATCGTATTTCCTACTTATTTCATTTTTTGGTGAAAATTTGTATATAGTGAAAAATTATTCTTTATTTTGTTCGCAAAAAAATTACTGAATTCAATTAGATAATACAAATTGAAAAAAAAATTGACAAAAGAAGCATAACACATTGAAAAAATCTTCAACTTGTTCGCTGATTTTTTTACAGCAAATGTTTAAAGATCCTTATATAGTTTGTCAATAGAATGTACTTCTATTTTAAAATTCGATTCCATTAAATTATTTCGACATCATCTATTCCGTTTCGCCACCACATAATTCGGTACTACGCTTCCATGTAACTCGCCATCAATTTCATTTCTCAAGAAATCAAGTCAATTAAATAAATTGGTATTAATATTTGAATTCAAAAAAAAAAAAAAAAATAATATATATATAAAAAACACTACAAATGTACATTAGAAAAAAGTAAGTAAAAATGGAAAAAAAATCATGCAAAATAAAACATTACTATTGTACATTTGAAAAGTCAAAATGAAAATGTTAAAATATCACATTTTTACGCGATTTTTTTGGATATTATCCTTTTCGGAGAGGAGAAAATTCCGAATTTGTTTGAATCGTTAAAATCAGTCCAGCGGTTCTTAAGTTATAAGCGTAGTAACTAACACAACTTTCTTTTATATATATAGATTTATTTCGTTAAAAAATTAGAATTTTCTTGTTCATTCATTGCCATGGAGCTTCGTTTTGCCCTTTCCATCGCTGAGTACGAGTTGTTTGTGATTTATTTGTTTTAGTTTTGTTTATTTATCTCATGTTGGGTCGTCATATTTTCTTGTTCTTGCCATTGTTGTCATTTTAGCGCAATTGCCATTCAAAGTATCAAATGTTTTTTCTTGTTGTTGTCAAGATTCCTAAGAATTCTGGATTTCGTTTTTGTTGGTCTTTCATTCTTTTGCACAATTTCAGTTCAGTGGAGTTTTTTTTTTCAATTTTTTACAAAAAAAAAAAAAAAAAAAAAAAAAAAAAAACAAGAACAAGATGATGTTGTTATTGGGTGTAGGAAAAAATAATGGCAAATTAAAATAACAGATTTAAGGGCAATATTCCAAAGAAGTCCATTTCAAACAAAAAAAAAAAAAAATAAATAAATAAATAAATAAATAAATAATAATAATAATAATAATAATAATAATAATAATAATAATAATAATAATAATAATAATAATAATAATAATAATAATAATAATAATAATAATAATAATAATATAATAATAATAATAATAATAATAATAATAATAATAATAATAATAATAATAATAATAATAATAATAATAATAATAATAATAATAATAATAATAATAATAATAATAATAATAATAATAATAATAATAATAATAATAATAATAATAATAATAATAATAATAATAATAATAATAATAATAATAATAATAATAATAATAATAATAATAATAATAATAATAATAATAATAATAATAATAATAATAATAATAATAATAATAATAATAATAATAATAATAATAATAATAATAATAATAATAATAATAATAATAATAATAATAATAATAATAATAATAATAATAATAATAATAATAATAATAATAATAATAATAATAATAATAATAATAATAATAATAATAATAATAATAATAATAATAATAATAATAATAATAATAATAATATAATAATAATAATAATAATAATAATAATAATAATAATAATAATAATAATAATAATAATAATAATAATAATAATAATAATAATAATAATAATAATAATAATAATAATAATAATAATAATAATAATAATAATAATAATAATAATAATAATAATAACAATAACAATAATAATAATAATAATAATTTATAATTTATGTTGAACAACATAATTAGGCCAGGATCAGTAAGGCCAGGTCGAACTTTTAATACCCTCCTCCATTTGGAACTAAATAATAAATAAAATAAAAAATAAAAATCGATAAAAACATCAAAATACCGAATAGAGGGAGGTACCTGGACCTGGACCTGCATGGATAATTTTCTGTCATGGACTGCAGTACCCGTTAGGAACTTCAAACATGCATTTTGAAACAATTCCGGTGAATGATGTCGCTGAAATTATCAAAATACCGAATATCGGGAGGTACCGTTATATGGCGGCTATACGAAGACCTGGACCTGCACAGACAATTTTCTTTCACAGGCTGTATTACCCATTACGAACTTCAAATACCAAATTTGAAATAAATCCGGTGAATAAACTCACTGAAATCTGTCAAATACCGAATATAGGGAGGTACAGGTATATGGGGCTATATGAAGACGAGGACCTGCATAGGCAGTTTTCCGTCACAAGCTGTAGTACTCATTACAAACTATCATTATGAAATTTCAAACAATTCCGGCGAATAAGTCATCAAAATACCGAAAATAGAGAGGTATACAGTGTGGGATAAAAAAAACTGCAACAAAGTCAAACGCCATAATTTCTAATTTTTTTTTAATTTTTGTGAATGAAATCAAAAAATGTCGGAAATATCATAGATTTCGATCGAATTGGTCACCTTTGGCACGAATTATGGCCTTTAAACGGCCAATGAAACGGTCACTCGCTTCCCGAATGTTGTTCTGCGGTATGTTGGCCCATTCCAGGCGAAGCGCTTGATTGAGGTAATCGACACTTTGGTATTTTTTATAGTGCCAACCTTGCTTTTCTTTGCAAAATACTCCACACACAATAGTCCCACGGATTGGTATCCGGAGATTTTGGTGGCCATTGTGTGCTGCAAATGAAGCGAGAAACCTCATTTTTAACTACTCCTGGTTGGCGGTGGCGTGCTGGAGTGCGATGCTGCTGAGTCCTGTTGAAATATCCAAAATTCCTTGACAAAATATTAAGAATTCTAAAATTAAAACAATATTATTGAATAAATATAAACCAATACTCATGAAAATGGTAGTATTGTTTGCGTATAGACAACTGGCCATATACACATGCTTCACGAATAGATATTCATTGAAGAAATCTACCTCCTCGCAATAACAATAATACTCATATTTACAAAAAGAAAGAAAAATAAAGAAATTACAATAAATGTAAATAAAAGCTATAAACATCAGTCCCAAAGTGAATTGTTTGTTTACATTTTGTATTACAAGCCAATACAAGTAGAATGCCACCACAGTGTTATATTCCCTCTTTTCATACTCAGAGAAAGAGAAATCAAGATCCGTTATCAGACAATCATGCCTTGATTTATAACCAAAATAATGAGAGCACCGTATTATTTCCATAATACGAATACGGTGTCACACCGTTACTACTCTGAGCTCTCTCAGAGAATTCAATGTGGTATATGGGCCCCACTATGTATGTGAGGTGCAAAGGAATAATGTAAAAATGAAGCAATGAAATATTGGCTTCATGCTTTTCACTCTCTTCTATGTATTTTGGTAATGATGTCTCAAATTTAAATGCCTCTGGGAGGAAAAAGTCTTACATGATCTGAGAAAGAAGAAGAAATTAAAACTGTTTGAAGTAATATGCAATGTATGTGTGTGTTATGGAAAATTAGGGTGTCAATAGAAATCATTGTTTTTATTTAAAAAAAACTCTAAATTAGAAGAAATCAAAAAAGGAGAAAAAAACTCCCAACGAACACAGCCACATACATTTAACTACAACGTAAATAAATATTTTTTTTTGGTAAATATTGCCAACTTTTTGAGCGCATTTTTTGTTGTTGTTTAAGAAATCACGAAAAAATGTATATTTCATCAAAAAAATACCCCCAGCTCCATTACAAAATTGCTGATCTTGACAATTCGCAAAGTGTGGGAACCAAAGTAATTTAATATATACAAACTATTAAACAAAAAAATTAAGTAAGACCAAATAAAAACAAAAAAATAATTGTTACAAATTTGTTGGTGTTGTTATTTCTTTGGGGTTATTGGTTTCATAATACAACAAATATTACAAATAATGGGAAAATAAATGAAAACGTAAATTGGGGAATTATTAAAAAAGGGGTATTGGAATAATAAAATAAATTCAAACTAAAGATAATAGAGACTAGATTTTTGTTCTATGAAAATATGAAATAAAACATATTTTTTATAAAAATTTCTATTTGAAATTTCATTTCTATATTAAAATGTTTCCATTTCGCAATTAGAACATACAACAAGAATTTATACCCATAGGACGCTTTAAATTTTCAAGAATTTAATTTTCAAATACTTCCAAAGCAAGTATTCAAAGTTTTCTTCTATTGTATTTTCAAAATCATATTAAAAAGGGTGCTAATCCTTGACACGCAGCCAATTAGTTTAACAAGGCTAAGTAGATAAATACACTTTGTACTATTACTTAAACTCTTTTTTGAAAAAAGAGGGTGTTGCCATTGGTTATTCAGAGAAGAGGTGGAGTGGTATTTTAAGAGAATGGACATTGAACCACCCTTTTTGTTATTTTGACACAGAACATCGACATAAAATGAAAGTACAAAGAATACAAATTTTCTGGTAGGTTATTTTATTAAAAATCTGAAATTGCAAATCTAATCAAATATTTGGAAATCATGGTAAAAATATTGAAAACTTATGAATACGGAATTCTTTGAAATTGCTGTAGTCCACTAGCTTTGTAAATATAAGACATTGAAAAATTGAATTTGGAAAACATTCGGGCGTCACCTTCTCAAAATAAGACTGTATGAAGAAATTGGCCGAATATCTAATCGGAAGCTATTATCGATTGCAAAGTATCATTGGGCGCCATCTTCTCTAAATAAGGCTGTATGAAAAATGGGCCACACACTTAACCGGTCGCGATGAGATGTATAATTACAGTAAAAAAATAGGTAATACAATTCTATTGGAAATTTTGCAAATTTTTCGCGTGGTATTTTATTGGAAATTAAACTTTGAAAATTATGGGAAAAATATTGAAAACTTATGAATACGGAATTGTTTACAATGGCAATAGCGTTTCTTTGTCGATAGTTGCAAATTGTAAGTTCGGCCGGGCCGCTTTTTGACCATTTGGAACGATTTTGGCAATTAAAAAAAAAAAAAATGGTTAAAAATTCTGTTAAAATCTTAAAAATACCGAATGTAGCGGTTATATTAGGGTCTATACGACGACGTGGGCCTGCATAGGTAACTTTTGTCATAAACCATTACAATATTTAAATGCGGAACTTGAAAAAAATCGGTGAACGATGTATCTAAAATCATCAAAATACCGTTATATGGGGCCTATACGAAGACGTGGACCTGCATAGACAATTTTCAGTCTTAGGCTGTAGTATCCATTACGAACTTCAAATACCAAATTTGAAACAATTCCGGTGAATAATGTCGCTAAAATCATCAAAATACCGAATATCGGGGGGTACCGTTATATGGGGGCTATGCGAAGACGTGGACCTGCACAGACAGTTTTCTGTCATAGGCTGTGGTATCCATTACGAACATCAAACACCAAATTTGAAATAATTCCGGAGAATAATGTCGCTAAAATCCTCAAAATACCGAATATCGGAAGAAACCTTTATATGGGGGTTATACGAAGACGTGGACTTGCACAGATAATTTTCTGTCATAGGCTGTGGTATTCATTGCGAACTTCAAATACAAAATTTGAAATAGTCCCGCAAATAATGTCGCTAAAATCATCAAAATACCGAATATCGGGGGGTACCGTCATATGGGGGCTATACGAAGACGTGGACTTCCACAGACAATTTTCTGTCTCAAGCTTTAGTATCCATTTCGAACTTCAAATGTCAAATTTGAAACGATTCCGGCAAATAATTTCGCCAAAATCCTCAAAATACCGAATATCGGAAGGTACCGTTATATGGGGGCTATACCAAAACGTGGACCTACATGACCCATTTTCAATACCAAAAGTCCGATATAATACACATTTGAGTAAAATTTTATCAATCTACTTCGATTCGTTCGGAAGCTAGAGTGATTTCCACAGACGGATAGACGGACGGACACCGCTAAATCGTCATAGAATTTTATGCTGATCAATACTTTGTGGGTCTAAAATGTATATTTCGAGGTGTTACAAATAGGATGACAAGCTACTATGGTGGAGGGTATTAAAAAAATAAAATCCATCAAAAAATCATATCGGGCGCCAACCTCAAATAGGTGGAAAGAGAGTGGAAAATCTAAGAATCAGGGAATCTAGTTTAATTTTTTTTGTTGGGCGCCATTTTGGTATAAGAAGGATATTCCATATTTCCATAAAGATTAGCAAACTTTTAATTGGGCGCCATCTCTATTCAAAGTTTTGGAATGCCTTTAAATCATATCAAATAAATCGACTCTGTTATTGAGTGGCAATAATTAGAAGAATCTCTGTCCGAGTAACAGCAACGCTTCCTTACAGAGCTTAGATTTGAAAAAAAATGAAATGCATTAAAAACTTCTATTTGGGCGCCATTCTCGTTGCAGCTCAAATAGCTGAAAATGCATTTCGGAGAATTTAGTTAACATTTCCATGTCGGGCGCCATTTGGGTATAAGAAGGATATTTCATATTTCCGAAGCGATTTGTGATAGTTAAAAGTAATAAACTTCATTAGCAAACTTTTAATTGGGCGCCATCTTCATTCAAAAGAGGATAATGCCCTTAAAACATATCAAATAGGTCAAATCTGTTATTGAGTGACAATAATCAAAAGAATCTCTGTCTGAATGACAGTAAGGTTTCTCTACTAAGCTTATATTTGAAAAATTAAAATGGATTAAAATCTTCCAATTGGGCGCCAAAATTGGTGTAAAGACAGTTTTTTTATTGGGCGCCATTTCCATATAAACGTGGATAATGCCTTCAAAATATATTAAATAGGTCGAATCTATAATCAGGGGGCAACAGTTATAAGGATCTCAACAGGTCGCAAGATTACTGAGTTTATTTATTTATTTCAGGGAATTTAGTCAAAATTGCCATGTTGGGCGCCATTTTGGAAAAATATTTCATATCTCCCAAACGATTTATGATAGTTAATTACGAAGCTTCTAATTAGGCGCCATCTATATTCAAAGATGTTTTTGAAATATATCTACAATTTTTATAATCACAATTTTCCCCCATAACCCCGGCAGTTGCTCAACTACATCCCTGTATCTTATGTCCCTATAAAGGAAAGATGCTGTTCTTTCAAAATCCATTTGAATTTTTTCAGATTTATTTATTATTTATTGCAGTTCTGTGTGATTCTCATTTCAAATCGCTGAACTTAAATTTCAGCGGCAGTACACATGTGTTCATAAAATAAGTTCTGAAAGCATTTTCCGTCGGATAATGATATTCCATGTTGAAATTCCTCAAGATATTGGCCACTGTTATTTCCATTTCCATATCGACAATACGTTTGCCCAAACATGAGCGGGGTCCAAAACCGAATGGTAAAAATATAAATGGATTAATGTTCTTCGATGAGAACTCCTCCATGCCGGGTTCAATGGATCTCAGCCAACGTTCGGGTATAAATTCCAATGGTTTGGGGAAATATTTTGCCTCTTTCAGTAGCATATTGGAAGCCATGAAAATATTGGTACCCTTGGGTATTTGATAACCACTTAGGTTTAAATCACGTCCCGATATCCGTACATTACCGAATATCACGGGATAGATACGCAGGGCCTCCTTAATGCAGGCCCTTAGATAGGGGAGATTTTTCATATTTTCAATGGAGAAATCTTCGTGCCGTCCAACATTTGTAAGGATTTCTTGACGTAACTTTTCTTGTTTCGCCGGATTTTTGGCAAGGCACAAAAATATGGCCGACAACACGGTTGAGGTGATTTCTACACCGCCCATAAGCAAATCTATGGCCGATATTATGGCCATTTTTCGATCGATTTTTAATAGTTTTTCCAAAATGCTTTTCTCTTCGCCCTCGGCAGGGGGGTTCTTCTCTAACCTCTCCAGAGTCTCCGCCACATATTTTTGACATATTTCATAGATAATATCCATGGATTTTTCGAAACGTTTATAGGCCGGCGTCTTGATATATTTATAAATGGATGGTTGTACACCCAGCTCATAGATGGCATCACCAAATGAAAAGAGGTTGTCGAAGATGGCTTTCGACTCATCGGAAAGGGGTTGATTTTGCAAGAGACCCATTCGTTTATCCAGGGCAATGTGGGCCACAGATTCTAGAGATAAGCGATTTATGTCGTAGAGAAAAGTTGGGGGCACTTCTAACGTTTTGGGGTCACGTAAGTGGCGAATTCTGTAATAAGTAGACGAGGGGGAGCGGAGTTATAATGGAAAATGGAGGTATTTTTAATTTCAGTTACTTACCTTTCAATAAATTCTTTATTGACTGCCTGCAAGGGTTCAATGTAGAGTTTGGTATTCTTGGGTTGCATCAGCACCGGATTTACCATGTGACGGAACTTGCCCCAGTTTTCACCACTGAATGGGGAAAGAAATTAAAAAACATAAAATTTATTAGTTCTTCTGTGTAGAGGTCAATTTTGGTATAGAAGATCTGATCTGTATAGACGACACCTCACTTATCCCAAGACCCATATATGGGTATAGGAGCATTAAATGCAGATTTTTCCATCCTTTGTACAAATATGACCGTATGACCGTGTGGGTACATAAGCCGCCTGAAGTCTTGGCATGACATATTTTGTGACATACATAAAGGGATGCCAGAGCTCCACTCGAATACTGCCTTCGTGCCTTCTTATCATATGCCTAGCCATGATATCAAGCTGGTTATATACCCTCACCTTTAGATGTTTAAATATCCCCCCCCCCCTTCTCACTTACTCTCCAGCCACGCCCATATACTCATCCGTGTACATTGAGTTCTTGCGCGACAAACGATAATAGGCCACTACCTCGAACCCTGGCCTTGCCGGATAGGAGCCCTCAGTACGGAAGACCTTCTCATGATCGGCCAAATTAAAGGTTACCAAATTTGTTGGTAGACCAAACATTCCCGGCAACAAATAAATGTCACCATAACGTTGACGACATTCTCGTATCACGATGTCAAAAGGTTTGCCGTGGAATTCTCCTCCTTTGAGAAAGCCCCGAACCAATTGCAATTTTGTGGGTCCCGGCAGCGATTTGTAGGGTTTACCATATTGCCATTCGTTGTCTAATGTTTCGCCGAGAGACTTGTCTGCCACTCTCTGGGAACTCTGTGGGAGAAATGTTAAATTTAACATTGAGTGAGAAAATTGAGAGTAATTTTTGGGTAGTCTCTTCCAAAAAATAATACATTTATAGGGAAAGAGAAAATTAAAATTGCATGATTTATAGTTTTTTTTTTATTTTTTTATTTATTTACTGATAACAATAATAATAATCTATATATATAAATGTAAGTTGTGTTAGTTACTACACTTATAACTTAAGAACCGCTGGACTGATTTTAACGAATCACACAAATTTGGAATTGTCTCCTCTCCGAAAAGGATAATATCCAAAAAAATCGCGTAAAAATGTGATATATTAGAATTTTCATTTTGACTTTTGAAATGTACAATAGTAATGTTTTATTTTGCATGATTTTTTTCCATTTTGACTTACTTTTTTCTAATGTACATTTGTAGTGTTTTTTATATTTTATTTTTGAATTCGAATATTAATACCAATTTATTTAATTGACTTGATTTCTTAAGAACTGAAATCGATGGAGGGTTACGTGGAAGTGTAGTACCGAATTATGTGGTGGCGAAACGGAATAGATGATATCGAAATAATTTAACGCGGTCACACCAAAGTTAACAGATAATTACTTTTTCAAAATCGCTAGAAAAAATCATGAAAAAGAATTCTCAAAAATTCTCAAATCGGGAAAAGATCGAAAAAAATTACAATGGAATCGAATTACAAAATAATAGTACATTCTATTGACAAACTTTGTAAGGATCTTTAAAATGAAATAAGTGTTAAATAGGATGTTAACTGACATCTACCCTTCAACTCGAGGGCCTACATCGTGGTTCAGCTGGAAAATGCGCAGACATTTAAACAAACAAAAATGACCGAAAAAGACTAATGGGGCTCATTTCAAAGCATGGACCTTCTTCTTTCATGTGACAATAATCCGTCCAATGAGAGCTCAAAATGCAAAATTCTTTGAGAGTACAATCAGTAAAATACCAAATTTAAAGTGTGCAAAATAGTAGAGCGAATGGGACTTTTAGTATGAAAAGGATTTATATCCTTCCAGAAATTCTTTCAAAACATTCAAGATTACTTAAATCGCTTTTGCAGGTCTTGATATCGATCATAACTCACGGATAAGGGTACAACCCGAATTCATATTTATATAACCATCTATGATTGAAGCTATTTTTGGGGTCTTGGCCACTTTTTCATTTTTTTGGCCCTTATTTGAAATTTTCAAAGTTGGTCTTGACCACCTTCATCAATTGATTTAGCTAAAAAAATTCATTTATACTACCCTGTGGTAGGGCACCATCATACAGATAATTGTCACACAGGAAAGTTTGGAGTATCCCCAAGTCCACTTTCACATCTAATGTGTGGTCAGAAAAGAAAATTTTGTATTCTATTGAATTTTTAACCCCCAAGAGAATATTGGTTAGGTATAACCCTCATATGAATGTATCCCTGATTCCAGTTATGACTGTGGTCTTGGCAACGTTTTTCAACTGATTTGGCTATTATTTGGCATCTTGGCTTTTCTGTTTCGAGGGTCTTGACCACATTTTCCAATCGATTTTGCTGTATTTAGGCTACTTTGTGAGTAGAGAACCATTGTACAGAAAAATGTCAACATACGTAAATATTTTGGTACAGTCCCCAGGGCCGCCGATCTATTGTGATTTTTAACGATTGGCGGACGACAACACGGGAATTGTTTAATCGTCATTTACTATGAACAAGAACATAGACTTTTTGGGGACGCTAATGCGCAATTTGAGGTGCTAAGGCGTAATTAACTTATTGTTATTATTTTGTCGGATCAATATTTATATTAAAATTTGTTCACCTTTAAAATTTGCATTACAGACTAGAACTACGGGCCGGCAACGCGGACCGGGCCAGCTAGTTTTTATATATAATTTTTGTTATCATTATTGTTATGTTTATTATAATTTTTAATTTATATTTTTGTATTATTATTGTTTCTAAATATTAATAAATCCCCGCTTACCTTAACCTCTGCCGCCGCCGCTGCCGAAAACTGTTTCGTCAAGCCATTTAAAATATAGACGCTTTGACGTTGTTTTAACAAATTGTTTGCCAACATTTCATCAGAGTTTTGTTATGTTTTCTTCGATGACTTGCAAAATTTGAAACGCGATTAGAACCTACCCTGACGCAATACCAAAACAGACTGAGTTGTCGTGGTCGGTGGTGCACTGGACAAGTGGGTTCTATCTCTTTTCGGGGGCTACTGTTTTGATAATAAATGTACCTTTATCTATTTGAAATTGAAAATTGAGAGATAGTGGTCGATGGATCAGAGACGCCTGAAAGTATGTGACATATGTGAGAAAATGAAAGTTCATTTAGAAAATATGAGCTTTGAATGATATATGAATATAGCTCATTATTTGGTAAATGTCGATGTACAGAAAACGAGTCGAGAGGTTATATTTTTTATAGAGGAGGAATATTATGTGTCATTCTCTACTCTCCAAGACCATTCCCTATGGTGACCGACTTGTGGCCGCAAGTATCGATAGTATCGACAATTTGAGATGGTGAAGTTATTTCGGAATAAGAAACAAGAAAAAGAACTGTAAGTTCGACCGGACCGAACTTTGAATACCCTCCACCATTTGGAACGAATTTGGCAAATATCCAAAAAAATAAAATTCATTAAAAATTCTTTTAAAATCTTAAAAATACCGAATGTAGCCCTCATACTATGGTCTATACGAAGACGTAGAATAAGCAACTTTTGTCATAAGCCATTATAATATTCTAAATTGATCAAAAAACCGAATATAGGGTGGTACTATTATATAGGGGGTAAAAATACCGAATATCGGGAGGTACCGTTATATGAAGGCTATTCGAAGATGTGAACCTGTACAGCCAATTTTCTGTCATAGGCTGTAGTATCCATTACGAACTTCAAATACCAAATTTGACCTGCATGGACGATTTTCTGTCATAGATTGAAGCATCCATTACGAACTTCAAAAACGAAATTTGAAACAATTCCGGTGAAAAATGTCGCTAAAATCATCAAAATACCGGATATCGGGAGGTACCGTTATATGAAGGTTATACGAAGACATGGACCTGCACGAGCAATTTTCTGACATAGGCTGTAGTACCCGTTAGTAACTTCAAATACCAAATTTGAAACAATTTCGGTGAATAATGCTGCTAAAATTATCAAAATACCGAATATCGGGAGGTGTCGTTATAAGGGGGCTATGCCAAAACGTGGACCTGCACAGACAATTTTCTGTCTTAGGCTGTAGTATTCATTACGAACTTCGAATACCAAATTTGAAACATTTCTGGTGAAAAATGTCGCTTAAATCAGCAAAATACGCCTAATAGTAGACGCCCCCATATGTCATTTTCTACATAGGATCTTTAGGCTGTCCTCTTGGTAGGGACATTTCTATGAGTCATGTTCTTGGTAGAAGACGTTTCTTTAGATCGTCTTCTGTATAGAAGTCGTCTCAATATATTATCTTTGGCATAGAAGACGCCTTTGTAGGTCGTCTTCAGCATAGAAGACGCCTTTGTAGGTCGTCTTCAGCATAGAAGACGCCTCTATAGGTCGTCTTCGTCAAAGAAGACGTCTCAATAGGTTGTCTTCGTCAGAGAAGACGCCTCTATAGGTCGTCTTGAGTACAGAAGACGCATCTATAGGTCGTCTTCTCTATAGAAGATGCCTTCATATGTCGTGCTCTCTACAGAAGACGCATATATAGGTCGAATTCTGCATAGAAGATGCCTCTAAAGGTTGTCTTCCTTATAAAAGACGCCTCTATAGGTCGTCTTCAGAATAGAATACGGGTCTATAGGCCGTCTTCTCTATTAATGATGCCTTTATATGTCGTGCTCTTTATATAAGACACATATATAGGTCGAATATATAGGCGAAGATGGCTCTATAGCTCGTCTTCTCTATTGTAGACGGCTCTATAGCTCATCTTCTCTATTGAAGTAGCCTCTAAAGGCAGTCTTTTCTATTGAAGACGCCTCTAAAGGCAGTTTTCTCTATAGAAAATGACTCTATGGCTCGTCTTCTTTATAGAAGATGACTTTACAGGTCGTCTTCTACATAGTAGATGACTCTTCATGTCGGCTTCTACATAGAAGATGACTCTACATGTCGTCTTCTGTGTAGAAGATGACTCTATAGGTCGTCTTCTGTATAGACGAGGACCCTATAGGGCGTCTTCTGTATAAACGAGGACCCTATAGGGCGTCTTCTCTAAAGAAGAGGCCTTTATAGGTCGTCTTCTCCGAAGAAGAGGCCTTTATAGGTCGTCTTCTCTAAATAAGAGGCCTTTTTAGGTCGTTTTCAGCAAAGAAGACTTCTTTATATGTCGTCCACAGCATACAGAACGTCTCTTTAGGCCGTTTCCTCTATAGAATACTCCTTTATATGTTGTGTTCTTTATAGAAGACACCACCATAGGCCGTCTTCTCTATAGAAGATGAGTCTATAGATCGAATTCTGCATACAAGGCGCCTCTACACGTCCTTATCTGTATACACACGCCGTCTTCTGTTCAGAAAACGACAACGTGGAACATCTTCATTGTAGAAGACGACCCCATGGGTCACGTGGTTTTTATTCTTTTTTTTTTGTCCTCTTCAGCATTAAGGACTTCTCCATATGTTAAGGGAGAATGGAAAGGCATATAACTTAAAATATCTTCAAGAAGTTTTTGTCAAAAATGACAAACTCAAAATAGTTTTGATTAAAAAAAAAAAAAAAAAAAAAAATAAAATAAAATAAAACAAATCCCAAAATGAGTACTTTTCCCAAAGAATTCATAACGTCTTCGTTCGGAAGTGGGCCTGGAAATATACACGAAAAAAGACATTCCAAAAGCAACTCCGATTCCCTACAAACCCCATCCATACAAATCTGTTATTGAGTGAAAATAAACAAAAGAATCTCTGTCCGAATGACAGTAAGATTTCCCTACTAAGCTTATATTTGAAAAACAGAAATGTATAAAAATCTTCCAATTCCATCTTCATTGCAGCTCAAATAGGTGGAAAGACATTTTTTTATTGGGCACCATTTTCATATAAACGTGGATAATACCCTCAAAATATATCAAATAGGTCAAATCTATAATCAGAGGGGTAAAAGTTATAAGGATCTCAACTGGCCGCAAGATTACGGAGTTTATATTTGAAAAAATAAAAATCATTTAAAATTTCTAAACATTTCAGAGAATTTAGTTAAAATTGCCATGTTGGGCGCCATTTTGGTATATGACAAATATTCCATATTTCCCAAACGATTTATGATAATTAATAAAATGCATTAAGAAGCTTCCAATTGGGCGCTATCTACATTCCAAGATGTTTTTGAAATATATCTACAATTTTTATAACCACAATTTTCCCCCATAACCCCGGCAGTTGCTCAGCTACATCCCTATATTTTATGTCGCCATAAAGGTAAAATCCATTTGAATTGTTCAGATTTATTTATTTATTTACAGATTTCTGGGATTCTCATTTCAAATCGCTGAACTTAAATTTCAGCGGCAGTACACATGTGTTCATAAAATAAGTTCTGAAAGCATTTTCCGTCGGATAATGATATTCCATGTTGAAATTCCTCAAGATATTGGCCACTGTTATTTCCATTTCCATATCGACAATACGTTTGCCCAAACATGAGCGGGGTCCAAAACCGAATGGTAAAAATATAAATGGATTAATGTTCTTCGATGAGAACTCCTCCATGCCGGGTTCAATGGATCTCAGCCAACGTTCGGGTATAAATTCCAATGGTTTGGGGAAATATTTTGCCTCTTTCAGTAGCATATTGGAAGCCATGAAAATATTGGTACCCTTGGGTATTTGATAACCACTTAGGTTTAAATCACGTCCCGATATCCGTACATTACCGAATATCACGGGATAGATACGCAGGGCCTCCTTAATGCAGGCCCTTAGATAGGGGAGATTTTTCATATTTTCAATGGAGAAATCTTCGTGCCGTCCAACATTTGTAAGGATTTCTTGACGTAACTTTTCTTGTTTCGCCGGATTTTTGGCAAGGCACAAAAATATGGCCGACAACACGGTTGAGGTGATTTCTACACCGCCCATAAGCAAATCTATGGCCGATATTATGGCCATTTTTCGATCGATTTTTAATAGTTTTTCCAAAATGCTTTTCTCTTCGCCCTCGGCAGGGGGGTTCTTCTCTAACCTCTCCAGAGTCTCCGCCACATATTTTTGACATATTTCATAGATAATATCCATGGATTTTTCGAAACGTTTATAGGCCGGCGTCTTGATATATTTATAAATGGATGGTTGTACACCCAGCTCATAGATGGCATCACCAAATGAAAAGAGGTTGTCGAAGATGGCTTTCGACTCATCGGAAAGGGGTTGATTTTGCAAGAGACCCATTCGTTTATCCAGGGCAATGTGGGCCACAGATTCTAGAGATAAGCGATTTATGTCGTAGAGAAAAGTTGGGGGCACTTCTAACGTTTTGGGGTCACGTAAGTGGCGAATTCTGTAATAAGTAGACGAGGGGGAGCGGAGTTATAATGGAAAATGGAGGTATTTTTAATTTCAGTTACTTACCTTTCAATAAATTCTTTATTGACTGCCTGCAAGGGTTCAATGTAGAGTTTGGTATTCTTGGGTTGCATCAGCACCGGATTTACCATGTGACGGAACTTGCCCCAGTTTTCACCACTGAATGGGGAAAGAAATTAAAAAACATAAAATTTATTAGTTCTTCTGTGTAGAGGTCAATTTTGGTATAGAAGATCTGATCTGTATAGACGACACCTCACTTATCCCAAGACCCATATATGGGTATAGGAGCATTAAATGCAGATTTTTCCATCCTTTGTACAAATATGACCGTATGACCGTGTGGGTACATAAGCCGCCTGAAGTCTTGGCATGACATATTTTGTGACATACATAAAGGGATGCCAGAGCTCCACTCGAATACTGCCTTCGTGCCTTCTTATCATATGCCTAGCCATGATATCAAGCTGGTTATATACCCTCACCTTTAGATGTTTAAATATCCCCCCCCCCCCCTTCTCACTTACTCTCCAGCCACGCCCATATACTCATCCGTGTACATTGAGTTCTTGCGCGACAAACGATAATAGGCCACTACCTCGAACCCTGGCCTTGCCGGATAGGAGCCCTCAGTACGGAAGACCTTCTCATGATCGGCCAAATTAAAGGTTACCAAATTTGTTGGTAGACCAAACATTCCCGGCAACAAATAAATGTCACCATAACGTTGACGACATTCTCGTATCACGATGTCAAAAGGTTTGCCGTGGAATTCTCCTCCTTTGAGAAAGCCCCGAACCAATTGCAATTTTGTGGGTCCCGGCAGCGATTTGTAGGGTTTACCATATTGCCATTCGTTGTCTAATGTTTCGCCGAGAGACTTGTCTGCCACTCTCTGGGAACTCTGTGGGAGAAATGTTAAATTTAACATTGAGTGAGAAAATTGAGAGTAATTTTTGGGTAGTCTCTTCCAAAAAATAATACATTTATAGGGAAAGAGAAAATTAAAATTGCATGATTTATAGTTTTTTTTTTATTTTTTTATTTATTTACTGATAACAATAATAATAATCTATATATATAAATGTAAGTTGTGTTAGTTACTACACTTATAACTTAAGAACCGCTGGACTGATTTTAACGAATCACACAAATTTGGAATTGTCTCCTCTCCGAAAAGGATAATATCCAAAAAAATCGCGTAAAAATGTGATATATTAGAATTTTCATTTTGACTTTTGAAATGTACAATAGTAATGTTTTATTTTGCATGATTTTTTTCCATTTTGACTTACTTTTTTCTAATGTACATTTGTAGTGTTTTTTATATTTTATTTTTGAATTCGAATATTAATACCAATTTATTTAATTGACTTGATTTCTTAAGAACTGAAATCGATGGAGGGTTACGTGGAAGTGTAGTACCGAATTATGTGGTGGCGAAACGGAATAGATGATATCGAAATAATTTAACGCGGTCACACCAAAGTTAACAGATAATTACTTTTTCAAAATCGCTAGAAAAAATCATGAAAAAGAATTCTCAAAAATTCTCAAATCGGGAAAAGATCGAAAAAAATTACAATGGAATCGAATTACAAAATAATAGTACATTCTATTGACAAACTTTGTAAGGATCTTTAAAATGAAATAAGTGTTAAATAGGATGTTAACTGACATCTACCCTTCAACTCGAGGGCCTACATCGTGGTTCAGCTGGAAAATGCGCAGACATTTAAACAAACAAAAATGACCGAAAAAGACTAATGGGGCTCATTTCAAAGCATGGACCTTCTTCTTTCATGTGACAATAATCCGTCCAATGAGAGCTCAAAATGCAAAATTCTTTGAGAGTACAATCAGTAAAATACCAAATTTAAAGTGTGCAAAATAGTAGAGCGAATGGGACTTTTAGTATGAAAAGGATTTATATCCTTCCAGAAATTCTTTCAAAACATTCAAGATTACTTAAATCGCTTTTGCAGGTCTTGATATCGATCATAACTCACGGATAAGGGTACAACCCGAATTCATATTTATATAACCATCTATGATTGAAGCTATTTTTGGGGTCTTGGCCACTTTTTCATTTTTTTGGCCCTTATTTGAAATTTTCAAAGTTGGTCTTGACCACCTTCATCAATTGATTTAGCTAAAAAAATTCATTTATACTACCCTGTGGTAGGGCACCATCATACAGATAATTGTCACACAGGAAAGTTTGGAGTATCCCCAAGTCCACTTTCACATCTAATGTGTGGTCAGAAAAGAAAATTTTGTATTCTATTGAATTTTTAACCCCCAAGAGAATATTGGTTAGGTATAACCCTCATATGAATGTATCCCTGATTCCAGTTATGACTGTGGTCTTGGCAACGTTTTTCAACTGATTTGGCTATTATTTGGCATCTTGGCTTTTCTGTTTCGAGGGTCTTGACCACATTTTCCAATCGATTTTGCTGTATTTAGGCTACTTTGTGAGTAGAGAACCATTGTACAGAAAAATGTCAACATACGTAAATATTTTGGTACAGTCCCCAGGGCCGCCGATCTATTGTGATTTTTAACGATTGGCGGACGACAACACGGGAATTGTTTAATCGTCATTTACTATGAACAAGAACATAGACTTTTTGGGGACGCTAATGCGCAATTTGAGGTGCTAAGGCGTAATTAACTTATTGTTATTATTTTGTCGGATCAATATTTATATTAAAATTTGTTCACCTTTAAAATTTGCATTACAGACTAGAACTACGGGCCGGCAACGCGGACCGGGCCAGCTAGTTTTTATATATAATTTTTGTTATCATTATTGTTATGTTTATTATAATTTTTAATTTATATTTTTGTATTATTATTGTTTCTAAATATTAATAAATCCCCGCTTACCTTAACCTCTGCCGCCGCCGCTGCCGAAAACTGTTTCGTCAAGCCATTTAAAATATAGACGCTTTGACGTTGTTTTAACAAATTGTTTGCCAACATTTCATCAGAGTTTTGTTATGTTTTCTTCGATGACTTGCAAAATTTGAAACGCGATTAGAACCTACCCTGACGCAATACCAAAACAGACTGAGTTGTCGTGGTCGGTGGTGCACTGGACAAGTGGGTTCTATCTCTTTTCGGGGGCTACTGTTTTGATAATAAATGTACCTTTATCTATTTGAAATTGAAAATTGAGAGATAGTGGTCGATGGATCAGAGACGCCTGAAAGTATGTGACATATGTGAGAAAATGAAAGTTCATTTAGAAAATATGAGCTTTGAATGATATATGAATATAGCTCATTATTTGGTAAATGTCGATGTACAGAAAACGAGTCGAGAGGTTATATTTTTTATAGAGGAGGAATATTATGTGTCATTCTCTACTCTCCAAGACCATTCCCTATGGTGACCGACTTGTGGCCGCAAGTATCGATAGTATCGACAATTTGAGATGGTGAAGTTATTTCGGAATAAGAAACAAGAAAAAGAACTGTAAGTTCGACCGGACCGAACTTTGAATACCCTCCACCATTTGGAACGAATTTGGCAAATATCCAAAAAAATAAAATTCATTAAAAATTCTTTTAAAATCTTAAAAATACCGAATGTAGCCCTCATACTATGGTCTATACGAAGACGTAGAATAAGCAACTTTTGTCATAAGCCATTATAATATTCTAAATTGATCAAAAAACCGAATATAGGGTGGTACTATTATATAGGGGGTAAAAATACCGAATATCGGGAGGTACCGTTATATGAAGGCTATTCGAAGATGTGAACCTGTACAGCCAATTTTCTGTCATAGGCTGTAGTATCCATTACGAACTTCAAATACCAAATTTGACCTGCATGGACGATTTTCTGTCATAGATTGAAGCATCCATTACGAACTTCAAAAACGAAATTTGAAACAATTCCGGTGAAAAATGTCGCTAAAATCATCAAAATACCGGATATCGGGAGGTACCGTTATATGAAGGTTATACGAAGACATGGACCTGCACGAGCAATTTTCTGACATAGGCTGTAGTACCCGTTAGTAACTTCAAATACCAAATTTGAAACAATTTCGGTGAATAATGCTGCTAAAATTATCAAAATACCGAATATCGGGAGGTGTCGTTATAAGGGGGCTATGCCAAAACGTGGACCTGCACAGACAATTTTCTGTCTTAGGCTGTAGTATTCATTACGAACTTCGAATACCAAATTTGAAACATTTCTGGTGAAAAATGTCGCTTAAATCAGCAAAATACGCCTAATAGTAGACGCCCCCATATGTCATTTTCTACATAGGATCTTTAGGCTGTCCTCTTGGTAGGGACATTTCTATGAGTCATGTTCTTGGTAGAAGACGTTTCTTTAGATCGTCTTCTGTATAGAAGTCGTCTCAATATATTATCTTTGGCATAGAAGACGCCTTTGTAGGTCGTCTTCAGCATAGAAGACGCCTTTGTAGGTCGTCTTCAGCATAGAAGACGCCTCTATAGGTCGTCTTCGTCAAAGAAGACGTCTCAATAGGTTGTCTTCGTCAGAGAAGACGCCTCTATAGGTCGTCTTGAGTACAGAAGACGCATCTATAGGTCGTCTTCTCTATAGAAGATGCCTTCATATGTCGTGCTCTCTACAGAAGACGCATATATAGGTCGAATTCTGCATAGAAGATGCCTCTAAAGGTTGTCTTCCTTATAAAAGACGCCTCTATAGGTCGTCTTCAGAATAGAATACGGGTCTATAGGCCGTCTTCTCTATAAATGATGCCTTTATATGTCGTGCTCTTTATATAAGACACATATATAGGTCGAATATATAGGCGAAGATGGCTCTATAGCTCGTCTTCTCTATTGTAGACGGCTCTATAGCTCATCTTCTCTATTGAAGTAGCCTCTAAAGGCAGTCTTTTCTATTGAAGACGCCTCTAAAGGCAGTTTTCTCTATAGAAAATGACTCTATGGCTCGTCTTCTTTATAGAAGATGACTTTACAGGTCGTCTTCTACATAGTAGATGACTCTTCATGTCGGCTTCTACATAGAAGATGACTCTACATGTCGTCTTCTGTGTAGAAGATGACTCTATAGGTCGTCTTCTGTATAGACGAGGACCCTATAGGGCGTCTTCTGTATAAACGAGGACCCTATAGGGCGTCTTCTCTAAAGAAGAGGCCTTTATAGGTCGTCTTCTCCGAAGAAGAGGCCTTTATAGGTCGTCTTCTCTAAATAAGAGGCCTTTTTAGGTCGTTTTCAGCAAAGAAGACTTCTTTATATGTCGTCCACAGCATACAGAACGTCTCTTTAGGCCGTTTCCTCTATAGAATACTCCTTTATATGTTGTGTTCTTTATAGAAGACACCACCATAGGCCGTCTTCTCTATAGAAGATGAGTCTATAGATCGAATTCTGCATACAAGGCGCCTCTACACGTCCTTCTCTGTATACACACGCCGTCTTCTGTTCAGAAAACGACAACGTGGAACATCTTCATTGTAGAAGACGACCCCATGGGTCACGTGGTTTTTATTCTTTTTTTTTTGTCCTCTTCAGCATTAAGGACTTCTCCATATGTTAAGGGAGAATGGAAAGGCATATAACTTAAAATATCTTCAAGAAGTTTTTGTCAAAAATGACAAACTCAAAATAGTTTTGATTAAAAAAAAAAAAAAAAAAAAAAAAAAAAAAAAAAAAAAACAAATCCCAAAATGAGTACTTTTCCCAAAGAATTCATAACGTCTTCGTTCGGAAGTGGGCCTGGAAATATACACGAAAAAAGACATTCCAAAAGCAACTCCGATTCCCTACAAACCCCATCCATACAAATCTGTTATTGAGTGAAAATAAACAAAAGAATCTCTGTCCGAATGACAGTAAGATTTCCCTACTAAGCTTATATTTGAAAAACAGAAATGTATAAAAATCTTCCAATTCCATCTTCATTGCAGCTCAAATAGGTGGAAAGACATTTTTTTATTGGGCACCATTTTCATATAAACGTGGATAATACCCTCAAAATATATCAAATAGGTCAAATCTATAATCAGAGGGGTAAAAGTTATAAGGATCTCAACTGGCCGCAAGATTACGGAGTTTATATTTGAAAAAATAAAAATCATTTAAAATTTCTAAACATTTCAGAGAATTTAGTTAAAATTGCCATGTTGGGCGCCATTTTGGTATATGACAAATATTCCATATTTCCCAAACGATTTATGATAATTAATAAAATGCATTAAGAAGCTTCCAATTGGGCGCTATCTACATTCCAAGATGTTTTTGAAATATATCTACAATTTTTATAACCACAATTTTCCCCCATAACCCCGGCAGTTGCTCAGCTACATCCCTATATTTTATGTCGCCATAAAGGTAAAATCCATTTGAATTGTTCAGATTTATTTATTTATTTACAGATTTCTGGGATTCTCATTTCAAATCGCTGAACTTAAATTTCAGCGGCAGTACACATGTGTTCATAAAATAAGTTCTGAAAGCATTTTCCGTCGGATAATGATATTCCATGTTGAAATTCCTCAAGATATTGGCCACTGTTATTTCCATTTCCATATCGACAATACGTTTGCCCAAACATGAGCGGGGTCCAAAACCGAATGGTAAAAATATAAATGGATTAATGTTCTTCGATGAGAACTCCTCCATGCCGGGTTCAATGGATCTCAGCCAACGTTCGGGTATAAATTCCAATGGTTTGGGGAAATATTTTGCCTCTTTCAGTAGCATATTGGAAGCCATGAAAATATTGGTACCCTTGGGTATTTGATAACCACTTAGGTTTAAATCACGTCCCGATATCCGTACATTACCGAATATCACGGGATAGATACGCAGGGCCTCCTTAATGCAGGCCCTTAGATAGGGGAGATTTTTCATATTTTCAATGGAGAAATCTTCGTGCCGTCCAACATTTGTAAGGATTTCTTGACGTAACTTTTCTTGTTTCGCCGGATTTTTGGCAAGGCACAAAAATATGGCCGACAACACGGTTGAGGTGATTTCTACACCGCCCATAAGCAAATCTATGGCCGATATTATGGCCATTTTTCGATCGATTTTTAATAGTTTTTCCAAAATGCTTTTCTCTTCGCCCTCGGCAGGGGGGTTCTTCTCTAACCTCTCCAGAGTCTCCGCCACATATTTTTGACATATTTCATAGATAATATCCATGGATTTTTCGAAACGTTTATAGGCCGGCGTCTTGATATATTTATAAATGGATGGTTGTACACCCAGCTCATAGATGGCATCACCAAATGAAAAGAGGTTGTCGAAGATGGCTTTCGACTCATCGGAAAGGGGTTGATTTTGCAAGAGACCCATTCGTTTATCCAGGGCAATGTGGGCCACAGATTCTAGAGATAAGCGATTTATGTCGTAGAGAAAAGTTGGGGGCACTTCTAACGTTTTGGGGTCACGTAAGTGGCGAATTCTGTAATAAGTAGACGAGGGGGAGCGGAGTTATAATGGAAAATGGAGGTATTTTTAATTTCAGTTACTTACCTTTCAATAAATTCTTTATTGACTGCCTGCAAGGGTTCAATGTAGAGTTTGGTATTCTTGGGTTGCATCAGCACCGGATTTACCATGTGACGGAACTTGCCCCAGTTTTCACCACTGAATGGGGAAAGAAATTAAAAAACATAAAATTTATTAGTTCTTCTGTGTAGAGGTCAATTTTGGTATAGAAGATCTGATCTGTATAGACGACACCTCACTTATCCCAAGACCCATATATGGGTATAGGAGCATTAAATGCAGATTTTTCCATCCTTTGTACAAATATGACCGTATGACCGTGTGGGTACATAAGCCGCCTGAAGTCTTGGCATGACATATTTTGTGACATACATAAAGGGATGCCAGAGCTCCACTCGAATACTGCCTTCGTGCCTTCTTATCATATGCCTAGCCATGATATCAAGCTGGTTATATACCCTCACCTTTAGATGTTTAAATATCCCCCCCCCCCCCCCCCTTCTCACTTACTCTCCAGCCACGCCCATATACTCATCCGTGTACATTGAGTTCTTGCGCGACAAACGATAATAGGCCACTACCTCGAACCCTGGCCTTGCCGGATAGGAGCCCTCAGTACGGAAGACCTTCTCATGATCGGCCAAATTAAAGGTTACCAAATTTGTTGGTAGACCAAACATTCCCGGCAACAAATAAATGTCACCATAACGTTGACGACATTCTCGTATCACGATGTCAAAAGGTTTGCCGTGGAATTCTCCTCCTTTGAGAAAGCCCCGAACCAATTGCAATTTTGTGGGTCCCGGCAGCGATTTGTAGGGTTTACCATATTGCCATTCGTTGTCTAATGTTTCGCCGAGAGACTTGTCTGCCACTCTCTGGGAACTCTGTGGGAGAAATGTTAAATTTAACATTGAGTGAGAAAATTGAGAGTAATTTTTGGGTAGTCTCTTCCAAAAAATAATACATTTATAGGGAAAGAGAAAATTAAAATTGCATGATTTATAGTTTTTTTTTTATTTTTTTATTTATTTACTGATAACAATAATAATAATCTATATATATAAATGTAAGTTGTGTTAGTTACTACACTTATAACTTAAGAACCGCTGGACTGATTTTAACGAATCACACAAATTTGGAATTGTCTCCTCTCCGAAAAGGATAATATCCAAAAAAATCGCGTAAAAATGTGATATATTAGAATTTTCATTTTGACTTTTGAAATGTACAATAGTAATGTTTTATTTTGCATGATTTTTTTCCATTTTGACTTACTTTTTTCTAATGTACATTTGTAGTGTTTTTTATATTTTATTTTTGAATTCGAATATTAATACCAATTTATTTAATTGACTTGATTTCTTAAGAACTGAAATCGATGGAGGGTTACGTGGAAGTGTAGTACCGAATTATGTGGTGGCGAAACGGAATAGATGATATCGAAATAATTTAACGCGGTCACACCAAAGTTAACAGATAATTACTTTTTCAAAATCGCTAGAAAAAATCATGAAAAAGAATTCTCAAAAATTCTCAAATCGGGAAAAGATCGAAAAAAATTACAATGGAATCGAATTACAAAATAATAGTACATTCTATTGACAAACTTTGTAAGGATCTTTAAAATGAAATAAGTGTTAAATAGGATGTTAACTGACATCTACCCTTCAACTCGAGGGCCTACATCGTGGTTCAGCTGGAAAATGCGCAGACATTTAAACAAACAAAAATGACCGAAAAAGACTAATGGGGCTCATTTCAAAGCATGGACCTTCTTCTTTCATGTGACAATAATCCGTCCAATGAGAGCTCAAAATGCAAAATTCTTTGAGAGTACAATCAGTAAAATACCAAATTTAAAGTGTGCAAAATAGTAGAGCGAATGGGACTTTTAGTATGAAAAGGATTTATATCCTTCCAGAAATTCTTTCAAAACATTCAAGATTACTTAAATCGCTTTTGCAGGTCTTGATATCGATCATAACTCACGGATAAGGGTACAACCCGAATTCATATTTATATAACCATCTATGATTGAAGCTATTTTTGGGGTCTTGGCCACTTTTTCATTTTTTTGGCCCTTATTTGAAATTTTCAAAGTTGGTCTTGACCACCTTCATCAATTGATTTAGCTAAAAAAATTCATTTATACTACCCTGTGGTAGGGCACCATCATACAGATAATTGTCACACAGGAAAGTTTGGAGTATCCCCAAGTCCACTTTCACATCTAATGTGTGGTCAGAAAAGAAAATTTTGTATTCTATTGAATTTTTAACCCCCAAGAGAATATTGGTTAGGTATAACCCTCATATGAATGTATCCCTGATTCCAGTTATGACTGTGGTCTTGGCAACGTTTTTCAACTGATTTGGCTATTATTTGGCATCTTGGCTTTTCTGTTTCGAGGGTCTTGACCACATTTTCCAATCGATTTTGCTGTATTTAGGCTACTTTGTGAGTAGAGAACCATTGTACAGAAAAATGTCAACATACGTAAATATTTTGGTACAGTCCCCAGGGCCGCCGATCTATTGTGATTTTTAACGATTGGCGGACGACAACACGGGAATTGTTTAATCGTCATTTACTATGAACAAGAACATAGACTTTTTGGGGACGCTAATGCGCAATTTGAGGTGCTAAGGCGTAATTAACTTATTGTTATTATTTTGTCGGATCAATATTTATATTAAAATTTGTTCACCTTTAAAATTTGCATTACAGACTAGAACTACGGGCCGGCAACGCGGACCGGGCCAGCTAGTTTTTATATATAATTTTTGTTATCATTATTGTTATGTTTATTATAATTTTTAATTTATATTTTTGTATTATTATTGTTTCTAAATATTAATAAATCCCCGCTTACCTTAACCTCTGCCGCCGCCGCTGCCGAAAACTGTTTCGTCAAGCCATTTAAAATATAGACGCTTTGACGTTGTTTTAACAAATTGTTTGCCAACATTTCATCAGAGTTTTGTTATGTTTTCTTCGATGACTTGCAAAATTTGAAACGCGATTAGAACCTACCCTGACGCAATACCAAAACAGACTGAGTTGTCGTGGTCGGTGGTGCACTGGACAAGTGGGTTCTATCTCTTTTCGGGGGCTACTGTTTTGATAATAAATGTACCTTTATCTATTTGAAATTGAAAATTGAGAGATAGTGGTCGATGGATCAGAGACGCCTGAAAGTATGTGACATATGTGAGAAAATGAAAGTTCATTTAGAAAATATGAGCTTTGAATGATATATGAATATAGCTCATTATTTGGTAAATGTCGATGTACAGAAAACGAGTCGAGAGGTTATATTTTTTATAGAGGAGGAATATTATGTGTCATTCTCTACTCTCCAAGACCATTCCCTATGGTGACCGACTTGTGGCCGCAAGTATCGATAGTATCGACAATTTGAGATGGTGAAGTTATTTCGGAATAAGAAACAAGAAAAAGAACTGTAAGTTCGACCGGACCGAACTTTGAATACCCTCCACCATTTGGAACGAATTTGGCAAATATCCAAAAAAATAAAATTCATTAAAAATTCTTTTAAAATCTTAAAAATACCGAATGTAGCCCTCATACTATGGTCTATACGAAGACGTAGAATAAGCAACTTTTGTCATAAGCCATTATAATATTCTAAATTGATCAAAAAACCGAATATAGGGTGGTACTATTATATAGGGGGTAAAAATACCGAATATCGGGAGGTACCGTTATATGAAGGCTATTCGAAGATGTGAACCTGTACAGCCAATTTTCTGTCATAGGCTGTAGTATCCATTACGAACTTCAAATACCAAATTTGACCTGCATGGACGATTTTCTGTCATAGATTGAAGCATCCATTACGAACTTCAAAAACGAAATTTGAAACAATTCCGGTGAAAAATGTCGCTAAAATCATCAAAATACCGGATATCGGGAGGTACCGTTATATGAAGGTTATACGAAGACGTGGACCTGCACGAGCAATTTTCTGACATAGGCTGTAGTACCCGTTAGTAACTTCAAATACCAAATTTGAAACAATTTCGGTGAATAATGCTGCTAAAATTATCAAAATACCGAATATCGGGAGGTGTCGTTATAAGGGGGCTATGCCAAAACGTGGACCTGCACAGACAATTTTCTGTCTTAGGCTGTAGTATTCATTACGAACTTCGAATTTCTATGAGTCATGTTCTTGGTAGAAGACGTTTCTTTAGATCGTCTTCTGTATAGAAGTCGTCTCAATATATTATCTTTGGCATAGAAGACGCCTTTGTAGGTCGTCTTCAGCATAGAAGACGCCTTTGTAGGTCGTCTTCAGCATAGAAGACGCCTCTATAGGTCGTCTTCGTCAAAGAAGACGTCTCAATAGGTTGTCTTCGTCAGAGAAGACGCCTCTATAGGTCGTCTTGAGTACAGAAGACGCATCTATAGGTCGTCTTCTCTATAGAAGATGCCTTCATATGTCGTGCTCTCTACAGAAGACGCATATATAGGTCGAATTCTGCATAGAAGATGCCTCTAAAGGTTGTCTTCCTTATAAAAGACGCCTCTATAGGTCGTCTTCAGAATAGAATACGGGTCTATAGGCCGTCTTCTCTATAAATGATGCCTTTATATGTCGTGCTCTTTATATAAGACACATATATAGGTCGAATATATAGGCGAAGATGGCTCTATAGCTCGTCTTCTCTATTGTAGACGGCTCTATAGCTCATCTTCTCTATTGAAGTAGCCTCTAAAGGCAGTCTTTTCTATTGAAGACGCCTCTAAAGGCAGTTTTCTCTATAGAAAATGACTCTATGGCTCGTCTTCTTTATAGAAGATGACTTTACAGGTCGTCTTCTACATAGTAGATGACTCTTCATGTCGGCTTCTACATAGAAGATGACTCTACATGTCGTCTTCTGTGTAGAAGATGACTCTATAGGTCGTCTTCTGTATAGACGAGGACCCTATAGGGCGTCTTCTGTATAAACGAGGACCCTATAGGGCGTCTTCTCTAAAGAAGAGGCCTTTATAGGTCGTCTTCTCCGAAGAAGAGGCCTTTATAGGTCGTCTTCTCTAAATAAGAGGCCTTTTTAGGTCGTTTTCAGCAAAGAAGACTTCTTTATATGTCGTCCACAGCATACAGAACGTCTCTTTAGGCCGTTTCCTCTATAGAATACTCCTTTATATGTTGTGTTCTTTATAGAAGACACCACCATAGGCCGTCTTCTCTATAGAAGATGAGTCTATAGATCGAATTCTGCATACAAGGCGCCTCTACACGTCCTTCTCTGTATACACACGCCGTCTTCTGTTCAGAAAACGACAACGTGGAACATCTTCATTGTAGAAGACGACCCCATGGGTCACGTGGTTTTTATTCTTTTTTTTTGTCCTCTTCAGCATTAAGGACTTCTCCATATGTTAAGGGAGAATGGAAAGGCATATAACTTAAAATATCTTCAAGAAGTTTTTGTCAAAAATGACAAACTCAAAATAGTTTTGATTAAAAAAAAAAAAAATAAAATAAAATAAAATAAAACAAATCCCAAAATGAGTACTTTTCCCAAAGAATTCATAACGTCTTCGTTCGGAAGTGGGCCTGGAAATATACACGAAAAAAGACATTCCAAAAGCAACTCCGATTCCCTACAAACCCCATCCATACAAAATCTGAAATTTCCAATCTCTGTTGAAGAAGTCCCAAAACGGCTTCCCTACCACATCAAATGCCGTAAGAATTTAATCCAAAAGCAGGACTCCAAGACCACCAGCAGCAGTACTCCGAGAAGGGGTTATGACTTCAGCAGTTCCACGAATTCCAATTACAGAAATGCTCTCTTTTCGGTGCCAAAGAAATTCCGAGCTAAGTGTCCCTCAACCTCGGGAAAAGATGACAGTTACATTTCGCCAAAGTCTACCGTCCCTATTCCAACACCACAAAACCTGGGGGATTTGGATACCTCCCAAAAACTCTTGGACTCACAACATGAAATCTCCAACAAACCGGAAAATCTCAAAGGACCCGAATGGCGCAAACCCTGCAGTGCCAGTTTTGTGCCCGGTGTACCCAGGAAATATCTCGGCAATTGTCCACCAAATATCGAACAAATTGCCAAAATGTCCAAGACGAGACAGAAATTTTTTCTCACTCAGGATCCGAGGAGGACGCATTGTCTTGTGAATCCTGAAATATTTGACACGAAGGCATATTCGCGAGAAAAAGAGTTTCGAACTTTAACAAATATGGTTAAATATGCTCAGAATACGTGTGAATCGAGGGGAGGTGGTGGTGGTGTGGCTGAGGTCTCTCCTGAAGACTCGTTTATTTGTGAGGTCATTGATTTGGAGAATCCTTTGAAATTGGATTTCCAAGGTCTGGACTATAAGAACACCTACCAGCAGGATGAACAGGATTTACAAAATCAAAGGAATTATCGTCGCTTGGAACGTTTTATGGAGCGACGTCGGGTGAAGACCCAAACGAAGTTGGATGTGGATGAGGAATTGCATCAGGAGCGGTTGAGGGTGAGTGTAGGCGACCCAAGGGTCTTCTTCTGTATTGAAGACAACTCAAAGGGTATTCTTCGGTATAGAAGACGACCATAGGGAACTTCTTCGGTATAGAAGACAACCCAAGGGATATTCTTCGGTATAGTAGACGGCCCTATGGGTCTTCTTCGGTATATATGACGGCCCTAGGGGTCTTCTTCGGTATAGAAGAGGGCCCTAGGGGTCTTCCTGGGTACAGAAGACGGCCCAGGGGTCTTCTTCGGTATAGAAGACGACCTAAAGCGTCTTTAGTATTGAAGACGACCCTAGGGATCTTCTACAGTATTGAAGACGACCTTAGGGGTCTTCTCCGGTATAGAAGACGACCTAAGGGGTCTTCTTCGGTATAGAAGACGAACCAAAGGGGTCTTCTTCGATATAGAAGACGACCCGAGGGGTCTTCTTCGGTATAGAAGACGACCCAAGGGGTCTTCTTCGGTATAGAAGACGATCCAAGGGGTCTTCTTCGGTATAGAAGACGACCTAAGGGGTCTTCTTCGGTATAGAAGACGACCTAAGGGGTCTTCTTCGGTATAGAAGACGACCTAAGGGGTCTTCTTCGGTATAGAAGACGACCCTAGGGGTCTTATTTGTATAGAAGACGGCCCTAAGGGTCTTCTTTGGTATAGAAGACGACCTAAGGGGTCTTCTTCGGTATAGAAGACGACCTAAGGGGTCTTCTTCGGTATAGAAGACGGCCCTAAGGGTCTTCTTCGGTATAAAAGACGTTCCTTGGGGTCTTTTTGGGTACAGAAGACGACTCTAGGGGTCTTCTTCAGTATTGAACACGAGCCTAGGGGTCTTCTTGGGTGCAGAAGACGGCTCTAGGGGTATTTTTCCGTACAGAATACGATCCTAGGGGCCTTCTTCAGTATTGAAGACGACCCTAGGGGTCTTCTTCAGTATTGAAGACAACCCTAGGGGACTTCTTCAGTCTTCTTCTGTACAGAAGACGACCTTAGGGGTCTTCTTCGATATAGAAGACGACCTTAGGGGTCTTCTTCGATATAGAAGACGATCCAAGGGGACTTCTTCTGTATTGAAGACGACCCTAGGGGTCTTCTTGTGTTTAGAAGACGATCCAAGTGGATATTTTCTGTTTAGAAGACGGCCTTAGGTGTCTTCCTCTGTATGGAAGACCACCCTATGGATCTTCTTCCGCATTGAAGACGACCCAAAGGGTATTCTTCTTTATTGAAGACCCAAAGGGTCTTCTTCGGACTTTCAAATATCTTTCCATCCCATCAATTTTAGGTCCCCAAAGGATTCGACGTACGTGATCGGGATCCTTCCCGCCCTCCGACACCACCTCCCGAACCCATAAAATTGGGAAAAATATTTCGCTCGGCCGAAAAGTCAGAGAATCGTCAAATTATTGACGCCGAGAAACAGAGACGTGGAGAACGCTATCGCAATTTGTATCTAAAGAAAAGAGAGCGAGAGGAGCGGGAGAAAGAAGAAGCCAAACAAAAGAAGAAAGATTGCCAGCAAAATATTGGATTAGTTACGGCTGAGAGGGATTTTCAAAATATTGCCAGTAAAGCTGATGAGCTCAGTAAGAGAGCGCTGAAAAAAGAAGAGAGCAATGGCAGAAAGACAACTTTGAAAAAAGAAGCAACAAAAGATTTGGAATCTCAGAGAGAGGTTTCCAATTTGGCTAATGATCCAAAATTGAGATTAACTCCCCTAAAGGTGGGCAAGGTGGGAAGTAAATTTCTGCTGAGAGGCCAACTTCCCGAGGGAGAGACCTCTAAACCCAAAGAGAAGGGAGATAACAGATGCCTTAGCCGTGACCAATGGCTAAGGGAGTTAACTCCCAAGCGGGAGAAAATAAAACCAGATGTGGAAATTGGCCTGAGAAAATCTTTCAGTCCCGATGATCCCAATTTGATACTTTTCCAACCCCAGTTTGGCCAGAGATATGCAAAACCGGATACATCTGCCGTAAGAGAGTTTCGCCTCAAACCCTTGGGCCGCCATTATAAAAGAGTTTTACGCAAGCCAATCAAGTTTCGAAAACCTCATCTACGTTATACGGTGAAGAAGTTCAATTTGGTGGGTTATCGTTATGGAGATCCTTCGAAGGCCTTAAAGGGTCTGCTCTCCGTAAATCAGGGAGAGAAATTTCAATGGAAATCGGTAGATGAGTTTATTGCGAACAAAGAGAGAGAAGAGCAGCGACATTTGCTGGAGAAGAAATTAAAACGTTTACAGTTACTGGGTATACCCTGTAGACCCCCGGGTAGGCCGATATTGGAGAGGAGGTGTCAACATTCCGAGACGGAATCCGATAGGGGATGGATACCAGAAAAGGCTGTGGAGGGTGAAGAGAATGAGAGGGAAAGGGAGAGGAACTTGAGACAAATTATGCCCCTGGAGAGGCGTAGCAATATGCCAGCTCCTCAATATCGGGAGCCCACATTGCGCCAGCATCCCAAACGTCCCAGGAACTACACAGAGCAAAGGGTGCCCTCGGAAATATTCGATCAAGTTGTCAAGACCACGACGGTCCCTTATATGTATAAATTACCCGGGGATATTGTGGATCGGGCAAATGCCAATAGCTCCCGGAGAAAAACCTATACCGAGTTCTTGGAGTCCCGACACCATCATGACCACTGGAATCCCACCCAGAGTAAATATGTAGATGTCCATTATCAGCCGGAAATTGTAAGGCCTAAAATAGTGGAGATTAAGGGAAAATCTCAGGAGCCTCGGAATTTTGGCAGAAGTGAGGAAAATAGGAAGTTTGTGAAAGCCCAGCCCCCTTGTCAGGAATATGTGGACAAGAACTTGACCATGCCCGAATGGGATATGGAGGAGTTGAGGGAGAATTTCAGGAAAGAACATGGTGGGGTGGGAGAAGCTGCACCTACCCAGGGAACTTTGAAAATAGAAAACCGTTGCCATCAAAAGGATTTTGTGTTCCACTCCCGAGATCCCAGGGAGTTGGAGGATCTGCAGTATCCGGGAAGGGAGGAATATTTAAAGTTTATGCAGGAAATCAAGCAGGCCTTGGGGGAGAGAGATTCCCAAGAATCTCCCCTGGAATTCATGCAGACCCCCTTGTTGCAGGAGTTCCAGGAAGACCTGAAAAGCATTGAGAGCTGTCTCAGCTCTCTTAGCAGCTCTCAGTGCACAAATCTCACAAATGACAGCGGCAGCCATTTACTCCTCGAGGGCCAGGAGAAAATTCCGTTGGATTTTATACGCAAGTCGTTGGTACCCTTCGAGGAACTACAACGTTCCCGCTTCCAAGCCGAACCCATAGATGTGGAGCGGGAGGAACAGAATCCCTTTCGCGTTTTGCCATTTTCGGGTCAACGCAAGGCCCAGCTGGAGTTGTCGAGACCTCGAGATAAATTTTTCACCTTCAATAGCCGTTTGAAAAATGGTCTACGCCTGAGGCTGCAAGTGGCGCCCAAGGAGGAGGGTGGGAAATCCGAAGAAACCCTAGTGGGTAAGGGAGCCAGGAAACACAAACCCATGATGGCCACCGACATAGATGAGAATTACATCAATGTTGTTAAAAATCGTCCCGCCGTCAAGATGTTCAACTACAAAACCTCGCGATTCCTAATCAAGGATGCCTTGCGTCTGAAATTCGAATCTATGTTGATCCAGGGACAAATGGTTCGCACGAAAATCTATGATCGGCTCAATGAACACCATTGGGTGAATATGCAACAGCTGAAATTGTTGTACGATAAATTGTTCGATAAATGGGAAAAGGCGGAATATGATGCCTCCATGGCGGTGGTCTACAAGGTCAAGGCGTACTACGATGAAACGGATAGCTTGAAAACGGAATTGAAAAATCTGGAAAGGAATCAAGGTTCCGTCACAATGGACATTGTTTTCACCGAGGCCCATTGGGTCCGCTGCACCATGTTGCAAAATTTTCATTATCTCTTGGGGGATCATGAATGGCGTTTGCAGCATGATTGGATTCATCGGATAACTGGGGAGCCAGAAGACTCCGAGGGGGGTTCGGAAAAGGAACTGGATAACCCTGAAGGGTCCTCACTCCAAAAAACTAGTAGCGATTCCGAAAATTCCCTGGAGGAATCTGAATCTGCCATCCAACTGGAGAACTACGAACAATCCATCCTCAAGCGGTCCAAGGTCAATATACGGCCCCGCGACAAAGATGATGCCTGGGCCATAAAATCCTACTACGAAGAGGTTTATCTGCCCAACAAACACCCCAACCTCATTGTCTTCCCCAGTGCCGAGAGTTTTCTCCAAGGCCTGGAAAATTTGAAATCCAAAACTTTTGTTTTACTCTTGGAAATGCATTTCACCCTGGCCATCCACACGGAGCTTCAAAATAGAGTCGAGTCCTTTGAGGAATGGTGCCGACAGGATTTAAAGGAAAAACGAGAATATGTCGCCAGGAAATGTTCCAAATTGTATTTCATGCAAGATCGGGCAGCCTGGCTAAGGAGTCGAGTTTTGATGTCCCTACAGCGGCCCATAGAGGAATCTTTTAATGATGTGGGATTTTTGAAGGACTATGGGCTAATCAGTGAGGCGTGGCGTCGCATTGTGCCCTCCAATGTAAGGGGGTCCAATGATCAAATGGAAGCTGTGGAAATGGTGGCCATGATGTCGGATGTGGTGATGGAATTGATAGGTAGGTGTATCAGTCTTCAAGGGTGTATAGAAAAAAGAGGTCCTAAAGAAAATAGACCAAATTTTTTTTCTGTGGGATAAAAGGACCTTAGGAGGTCCTTAGGACCTCACATTTTTTTATACAAAAACGAAGTCCTGACGAGTTCCTGAGGACCTCAAATTCTTTTCTATAGAAAAAAAGAGCCCTGAGGACCTCAAATTTTTTTCTATAGAAAAAAGAGGTCCTTGTGACCTCAAATTTGAGGAACCATTTTTTTCTATAGAAAAACGAGGTCCTAAGAACCTCAATCTTTTCCTATAGAAAACATAAGAGGTCCTGAGGATCTCAAATTTTTTCCTATAGAAAACATAAGAGGTCCTGAGGACCTCAAATTTTTTTCTCATGAAAAAAGAGGTCCTGAGGACCTGAATTTTTTTCTAAAGAAAAAAGAGGTCCTGAGGACCTCAAATTTTTTTCTATAGAAAAAAGAAGAGGTCCTGAGGACCTCAAATTTTTTTCTATAGAAAAAAGAAGAGGTCCTGAGGACCTCAAATTTTTTTTCTATAGAAAAAAGAAGAGGTCCTGAGGACCTCAAATTTTTTTCTATAGAAAAAAGAAGAGTCCTGAGGACCTCAAATTTTTTTCTATAGAAAAAAGAAGAGGTCCTGAGGACCTCAAATTTTTTTCTATAGAAAAAGGAAGAGGTCCTGAGGACCTCAAATTTTTTTCTATAGAAAAAAGAAGAGGTCCTAAGGACCTCAAATTTTTTTTTTTAAAAAAAAGAGGTCCTCAGGACCTCAAACTTTTTTCTATAGAAAAAAAAGGTCCTGCTGACCTCAAATGTTTTCTATAGAAAAAGAGGTCCTGGCGGGCTCAAATTTTTTCTATAAAAAAAAGAAGAGGTCCTGAGGATCTCATTATTTTTCTATAGAAAGAGATCCTTGGTTCCAACCCATTCTCCTTTTCCAGCCAAATTCGAAACAATACCCATGGAAGAGAGCTCCACCACAGAACATGCCCTGCGTCGACGTCGCAACTATTTACTTAAACAATCTCAAAATGCCTGTCACATTGAGCGCCGTATCGACCAGGAAATGCAAAAAGTGAGAAAAAATCTTGAACCACCTCCAGCCCCGCTGAAATTTAAACGCCTCCGAAAATTACCTCGTCTCTATATCAAGAAACGTCAGAAGACTGTACAACGCGAAGAGAAAAAAATATCCGAAAGGGCAAAATTTTTCTTTCAAGCTTTCCACGAAGATGATGCTGACATTTTGCAACCCTCCGAGGTCCGCGACAGCATTGCCCAGGTCGATACGATCCAAGAACAAATTGTTCCATTTTATTTTGATCATTTTCTCAAATTGAATGGCTATACACCGAATTATAATTTCAAGACCCACATTGAAATGCGTGATGGTCCCGAATTGGAGCGGCTGAAGGTACGTTCCGTCGTACCTGAGATCCAACAGCGTCTAATGCAATGGGAGCATATTAAGCGTAAAATCATGGAGGATCACATAGCTCAGAATCCGAAAATGTACATTGATGTGGTGTGAGGGGAAATTTCGGAAGGGGGAAATGGGGAAGTTTCTGAATTTTGGAAAAATTAATTAATAATTTTATATTTTTATATATATTTTATATCGGACTTAAATAATTGCAATATATTTTCATACATTTTAAAAAATTTCCCTAAAAAATCCAAATGGGAAATTTGAAATTTTTAACGCGATTTGTTTTAATTTTTTTTTTTGGTGGATTCCAGATATTAAATATTTTTTTGAAAATATCCCTTAACAAACATTTCCCTCTATGGGAAATTTTTATTTTGTCCAAAAATTAATATTTTTATTTATAAGTAATCGTTTTAATTAAGAATAAACATATTCATTGAAAATAAAAATTTCCCTAAAAAAATCCCAAATGGGAAATTTTGATTTTTTGAGTCGATTTTTTTTTGAAAATGTCACTAAACAAAAATTTCCCTTTATGGGAAATTTTTATTTTTAGAAAAAACATAATTTTTAAATTATTTTCAAACAATTTCTCAATATTTCCCTAAAGGGGAAATTTTATTTTTTTTGCTCATTCGATCTATTTTTTCTAAATTTTCCCTCAATTCCACGTAATTTTATTATTATTTCTAATAACAATATCTTTAGTTTCCTTTAAATATTTTTTATTTATTTAAATTATTTTCCCAATAATTTTACCTCTTCTCCCTGGAATTCCGCACGGAACTTGATTAGTACTCTTTTTCCTGTTCTATTATTATTTTTTCCCCCAAAAAACACTCTTTCCAATATCTCCATCTCTCACTCTCTCTTTGATATACATCTTTCCTTTGAATTGATTTAAAATTAAATCCCAAAATTTCCCGTTTTCCCACTACTACTGCTGCTGCTGCAGTTAGTGACAATTTAGCTTAATGCTGACAGTTTGCAATTTGAGACCACAACAACATTCCTCATCATCACCCAGCCATCCATCCGTCCATCCATCTCCAGGCGTATCTCAAACATCCATCATCTTCTGCCCAATTTATGGCCCGTTTGTTTGTCTATCACCTACCTATCTCTCTTTCTCTTTCACACTCTTTTCACGTCATAGCAAAAAAAGCGTCAAATTTCAATTAGAGATAAATACGACAAGATTTGTTCAATGCTTTTTTTTTTCTTGGTTTGTATCATTCCGAAAATATATTTTAGTTGTTGTTGGTCTTGTCTTGTCAACTTTGATTTGATTTCATTTAATAAAGAGCACAACGAATTGCTGTGATTGTTACAACAACAGCAGCAGCGGCAGCAGAGAATTCCCCTTTATTAGAAAACCTAAGAGTGTGTGTTGTAGAGAAAGGTCGTGAAAGAGATTAAACCAAATTTGTCACATGGATTTATTTGGAGAGCTATTTGCCAATAACGATGAAGAGCTACTGGTTTTCGTTGGTGTTAATGTTGTTGTTGTTGTTATTTCTTGTTCATTACCGGTAGTTCTGTTAGGGATTTAAAGAAAGGAATTAAATTTCAAAATAATTAGAATTGTTCTATTACGTGGAATGTGATGTAATATTTCTTGAAGAGAGAGAGAGAGGGAATTAATCTCTTCTATGGTGGCAATGCACTGAGAGGAAATATAATAACTGAACATCCATTTACTGAGACGGGTTATGCCCAATGGAGAAAATGTGGAAAAAATAATTTATTTTCTCTAAAAATAACTCAACTCTGAAACATTTTTTCAATTCGGACAATATTTCAATATTTGTTTTAAACCTTTTCAAGAACCAAGACCAAAAAATGGATTTAAATTTAAGAATATTTTTTTAAGATTATTTTATGCAGTTGTAGGGTTAAATACCCGATTACCAATGATTCCTAGACTGACGAGACGGTGTTTCGGCGCTCTAAAATACATAGACAAAGCTCTACGCTAGTCCCAACATAAAGAGAACTCCCTAACGCCGGGGTGTTATGCGAGCACGTCAGTGTTCTAATGAATCTTTGTTGATAACTGAGCCCTTCAACGAATATTAGGTTTACATACCGGAGCTATGCTCTTCAAAAAAAAAAAAATTACAAAAACGGATAAAATTGATGAGCCACTGGGCTCTCCCTACACCAAGGGCGCCAAATCCAAGGATATGAGGGATAAAAAACATATGGAAAAGAAGTAAACTACTGTAGTCGATATGTCAATGGGGATCCATCAAAGCTTACTTGAAAAGCAGCTGCAGCTTTCAGGACGAACAAAGCAAGTTCGAGAGGAAGTAGAGAAAATTGAAGCCTGCTAAGTCCAGAGATCATGGATTTTAAACAGAAATTCAAGGACCAAAGATCGTGGATTTAAAAAAAATTGAAATTTTTTCTCTAAATTTTGTCATGCATAGCAGATATAAAATAGATATTCCAGAATTAAAAATCATGAGTTAAAAAATTATTTTTTTTTATTATTTTTTTCAAGGACCAACAATTTAATTCTAGCTCCAAAAATTGTGGTTCAAAAAATATTTTAACAGCTTTTCTAAAATAGCAGATTTAGATATTAGATAAAGATATTCAAGAATTAAAAATTTGAAATTAGAAAAAATATATTTTTTTGTGGTTACAATTTTCTAATTTTTGTTAAGGACCTAAAATAGCAGATTTTTAATTGATATCATTCAAGGACTAAAAATTATGAATTTAAAAAAATATATTTCTTTCTCAATTTTTTTCAAGGACCAACAATTCAATTCTAGCTTCAAAATTTCTGTTTAAAAAATAATTTAACAGCTTATCTACGATTTTTTCTCTAAATTGTGTTAGGACCTAAAATAACAAATTTAAAAAAGATATTCAAGAACTAAAAATCTTGAATTAAAAAATAAAAATATTTTTTTTAAATTTTTTTAAGGACAAAAAAATCAATTCTTGCTCCAAAATTCCTGGTTAAAATTTTCTTAATTTTGTCAAGGACCCAAACTAGTAGATTTAAAATAGATATTCAAGGACAAAAAATTAGGATCTAAAAAATATAATATTTTTTTCAATTTTATCAAAAACCAAAAAATCAATTCTAGCTCCAAAATTCCTGGTTAAAAAATATTTTAACAGCTTATCTACGATTTTTTCTCTAAATTTTTTAAGAATCTAAAATAGAAGATTTAAGATTGATATTCAAGGACTAAAAAATTAGGAGTTTTAAAAAATATTTTTTTCAATTTTTTTTTAAGGATTAAAAAATCAATTCTAGCTCCAAAATTCGTGGTTAAAATTTCCTAAATTTTGTCAAGGGCCTAAAATAGCGGATTTAAAATAGATATTCTATAGATAAAATAGATATTCATAGATAACAACCATGAATAAAAACAATTCAATTTTTTCAAGGACCAAAAAATCAATTCTAGCTCCAAAATTCGTTTTTCAAAAAAAATTTAACAGCTTATCAAAAAATTTTTTCCTCTAAATTTTGTCAAGGACCTTAAATAGCATATTTAAAATTGATATTCAAGAACTAAAAATTAGGAATTTAAAAAAATATATTTTTTATACCCTCAACATGCCTCTTCGAAAAAACGGTTTTAGACCTTAGGTCTCTTTGAATCCGTTTCAGGACATTTGGAGTCGATTTAGCGAGGTCCGTCTGACTGCCTATTTGGCTGGCTGGTGCACACGATAACTTTCGAAGGGAATATCCGATTTGATCCAAACATGGTACGTCGTAATATTATTATTAAACTTAGGTCTATTTCGAAGATGGGCAATATCCCTTCACTCCTTTTGGTACCTCCCGCACAAAAGGTCGAAATTTTCAAAAAAAAAATATCTGCACAGAAAGGATAATCCGATTTTGCTCCAACTTTGCAAATCCTAATATTTTCATCAGTGCTAGGTCAGGTGCGAAAATGGACCATATCGGTCCACTCCATGAAGTACCTACCCCACAAAGGGTCAAAATTTTAAAAAATTACAACTCTTATAAAATATGATATAAGAGTTCGATTGTCTTCAAATTTCACATACACCAATATTTTTCTAAACCCAAGATCTGGTGTTAAGATGGAATCTATCGGCCCACTCCTTCTAGTACCTCCCCCACAAAAGGTCGAAATTTTGAATATCCATTCAGCCCATGAAACGCGCAATTTACACCCGATTCCATTCAGACTTGGCACATTTCAATATTTTTATCAACACAAGGTCTGTTATAAATATGGTAGAGATCGGAACATTTCTTCTGGTACCTCCCCCACAAAGGTTCAACGTTTTGAATAAGCAAAACGATCATAAAATCTGAAATTAACATGCGGTTCTCTTCAAATTTCGCTCATCCCATTATTTCTATTAACCCCAGGTCTGCTGTGAATATGGGATATATTGGTCCCCTCCTTCTGGTACCTGCCCCACAAAGGGTCAAAATATTGAATATTCATGAAGCGCATAAAACATGAAATTAACATCCGATTCCATTCAGACTTGGCACATTTCAATATTTCCATCAACACAAGGTCTGTCATAAAAATGGGAGGGATCGGACCATTTCTTCCGGTACATCCCCCACAAAGGCTCAAATTTTTGAATAACCAAAACGATTATAAAATCCGAAATAAGCATCCGGTTCTCTTTATATTTCACACATCCCATTATTTCTATTAAACCAAATTTTCTGTAAAGTTGGGATATATTGGTTCATTCCCTCTGGTGCCTGCCCCACAAAGGGTCAAAATTTTCAATATCCATGAAGCTCATAAAACGCAAAATTTACATCCGATTCCATTCAGACTTGGTATTTTTCTATATTTCCATCAACACAAGGTCTGTCATAAAAATGGGAAAGATCAGAACATTTCTTCTGGTACCTCCCCCACAAAGGGTTCAAGATTTTGGAAAACAAAACTCTGACAGAAAACAAAATAAGCATTCAACTCTCTTCAAATTTCACACACACAAACATTTTTGCTATCACAAGATCTGTTGTGAAGATGATATATATCAGCGAACCTCTTCTGGCACCTCACCCACAAAGGGTCACAATAATAATTCTAAATTCAAATAATAGTTTCTTCAGAAAATTTAAAAAATAATTCTCGATCTCTTGTCTAAAAATTTCTGATTTTATCATGTCTAAAGCTCATACACAGCAGAGATTCTTGCCTTTATATCGCCTAAAATATCCTCTTCGAAAGGATTTTAGTTTGATATAAAAATT